TACCCCTTTTTCTTCCCTCTCCAATCACCGACTCACACCAAACACGCTTCACAGTCCTATGTTTCCCGTGCACGAATCCACTTTAGATCAGAACCCCAGAAGAAGGCCGCGCGTTTATTGATGAACAAGAAAAACACTCGCCAAAGGAAACAAGCAAACAAACAAACTAGAGATGTAGATAGAGATAAACATACATGTGAGATTGGACGGCGTCGAAAGCGACGGGAATCAAACATTTAGGGCGTGTTTGTTTTGAGTTCGGCTGGAGTTTGGCACTGTAAATTTACTGTAAAGCCAAATTCAAGCACACGGCCAAACCTTCCTGTTATATGTTTGTCTGTCAGCGTAGCTGTAGCTGTTGACTAAAAATTCACCAGACTTTTAACCGCAAACAATTTTTCCTCTAGCTGCAACCCTTCCCCTCCTTTTCTAAGCTCGGATCTGGGTCTTCGTCAGAAAACCCTTGCCCCGCGGCCTCTTATCCCGGTAAGCAATTCCTTCAGATTTTGCTGCTTCTATTTCAGTAGGATAGGTTTGGTGGTTTCTGTGATACGTGAATGACGAAGAAGAAGAAAGGAAGAAAAAGGTTAGGAGGAGAAGAGGAAGAAGAAAAAAGAGGATGAGCAAAGGGGAGCGGAGGAAGGAGGAGATAGCAAGAAGATGGTGTAGAGGCGGCGGTTGTATTTTTTATTTTTTACTTCTTTTAGAAATAAATTTTAATATGTTGAAAAAAATATGTCTTTTTGCAAAAATCATTAATACTATATTTTATATATAAAAAAAAAATTATATTATATATATTTATTATTTTTATATTATTTATATAAAAATATAAAAAAACACATTCTTCTTATCATTTTAAGAAACAAATATATTTTAAAAAGATAGAAGTAAGTATTTAATTAAAATGGTAAATATTATTTTACTGTAATAGAAAAACAATAATTTTATAGAAATGGATACTTTGAACAAATAAAAATAGGATCGAGAAAATACGTTTGGACAAAAATTTATAGCAATTTTCAAATAATATTTCATTTATAATGTCTTATTTATCGTGTTATCTTTTTATTTTTGTTTTTTCATTTATTGTCTTATTTTTTTAAAAAAAAGAATTTATATATTTTAATTTCATTATAAATTTTTGATATATTTTTTATTATTTATTAATTATATTCCATCTAAATTCTCGTTTTGAAAACACGTAGATGGGCCGGTGGGAGTATTATTATATTTCTTACATAAATTTATTTTTATTTAAATAACAAGATAGTATATATAATATTATTTAAATATAATATTTTCTCGTCTCAAGTTAAATATTTTTTTTACTATTTGTGTCTGTTTTATTCTAAAATATTAATTTTCTATACCAATATCAAAGTATCCTTAATATTTACTTAAATTACAAATATATTATTACATAAAACAAAGGCTCAAAATTTAAAGTATAAAAAATACGATAATGTGTATTTGTTTTGTATTGTAAAATATAATAAATTATATATAATATGAAAATAATGCGGGTGTGTTTCTTTTAATTGAATTTGAAAAAATTTTATTTGAATTTAATATTAAAATAATATTTGATGAGATGTTTTATGATAGAAAAAAAAAATTTAAAAAAACATAGAATTCAAATAGTAAAACTTAAAAAATTTTAAATAAATAAACATATAATTTATTATTATTTTAAAAAAATTATATTGAAAATATATAAAAAAAAAACAAAAAACAAAAAACAAAAAACATACAAATAAATTACAAACATCCACCCAAAATTCAAATTAGGCCTAAAAAAGGGCACTAGTGTTGCATGATAAATGATTACTGATGTTATTCTTCTTGCTCATGCATTAATTAAGTGTGCGTTTGTTTGGAGGATTGGATTAGATTTTCATTATTCATTCTATTTTTTTCTCAAAAAATATCAAATCAAACATTTATTTTTTATTTTTTATATTATACTAAAAATCAATTTTACATTTAAAACATCACATTAATACCTATTTATATCACATTATATAATTATTCAAATTCAAAAATTTTACTATTCAAATCCCAACTCAAAATCTAAATTCCTGTACAAACACACCCTTAGGGTTCGTTCCTACACATTCCACTGTTTAAAGTGATTGTGCGTAGAGGCAGCAGGTATATGATGGCCAAGAGGTATTATAACAAGATGCTGAACGTGGGGATTGAGCCGACAAGGCACACGTTCAACAATTTGATTTGGGGATTTTTTTTTTATTTTTTTATTTTTATTTCTGGTCAAGTGGAGACTGCCGTTAGGTTTTTTTGAGGACACGAAGGGGGTGCATTTTTTAAAAAATTTATGGATTTGTGTGAATTTTATAAATTTACAGGGTCTAATTTTAGTGGATTGTATTAATTGATTTAGATAAATTTTCATTGATATTCGTTGATTATTTATGGATTTGATAGGATTGTAAAATATATATTTTTTTATTGATTTATATAATTATATAAATTTATATAAAATACACTTTTAGATCATTTTTTTATTTAAATTATTAAATGAAAATATAAATAAATATTAATTTTAAAAAATACTTCATCCGTCCCAAAAGTATAATCTTGTTGGGTTGGGCACAAAATTTAAAGAATATTGATATTATATTGACTTGTAAAAAATAGTGTCAATTGTGTAATAATAATGAAAGTAAGATAGTTTTATGATGATACGATTATTTATGAAAATGAGACAATTGTTTTGTAACGGACAAAAATGGTAAACAAGACTATTGTATGACGGAGGGAATACATTATTATTATTATTATTACTATTATTATTATTATTATTATTATTATTATCTCATCTTCTATATAGCATTAGCAATATTTATTTTTAATGCATTAACTTTCGTTATTTGTCAATTTTCATTTTTCTTGTCGAAAGGTAAAAAATCTTAAATTTCATATTCAATTGAAAAATCATCTGATATTATTTAATAAATAATTTTTTTATAATTATTAATGACAGTAAAAATATTTTAACATGATACTATTTTTGTATATTAGTAATTTTTATTATCATTCAGTATATCAAATTTTTTAAATTTATATTTGTTATTATAATTTATATAATTTTTACATTAAATAAATATATATAAAATCAAGATCTAAATTTACAATTTTTGCAAAAAATATTTGAAATTAAAAAAATAAATATAAATTAACGATTCAAACGAAGAAAACATAAATATCTAGTTTATCTTCAACCAAATAACACAATAATAATGTATTTGATAATTGAAAATAGATGATCATCGTAATATATATTTATTATGATAAAATGTTAATATTTTTAAAATATTATATTTATAATATAAAAATATTTTTTTAAAAAAAAATTTTTTACTAGTATATTTTAATTGTAAATTAAAATATTTTAATAATATTAATATTATTATAATATTTATTACTCATACATTAATAATAATAATAATAATAATATATTTTGAAGAATTCATCAAAATTTCTATTTATCACGAGAGATTTTGTATAATACAAATTTTTTATAATGTTTAATTAAAATTCAATAAAATTTATAGATTTTAAAAATTTATTTTTTAAAAATCTGAATTGAAATGCCATAAATTTTAAAAATATTTTAAAAATTTAAATTGATTATTTCAAAATTTTTAAAAAAAATTAAAAATTTAAATCGAATATATTTCAATTTTAAAAATTTGTCAAAATCCTATAGTATCGATATTGAATACACCCTCGATCTCTCGCGGCATTTCGCTGATGTTAAATCAGTCTAACAAAATAGAGGTGGCAGAGAAGTATTTTGTCGAGGATGACTGGGGGAAAGAACGAAGGAAAGAAAGGAAAGAAGAAAGGTGCAGTAGCCCGATAAAGGCGGCAAAAGTTGAACTACTTGCAGCATAGGTTCACTGTGATTGTGAAGCTGACGACTATCTACAAAACTCCATAACAGACCCCCGAGGTAAGCTTATCTCTCTACCCGGCAATGGCTGCTTCTACCCATTTAATTCTCTCCAACTACACAGACAGCATCCTACCATCATTCTTCATCCCTTCCCAGTTCCCACCGCCTCTGCTCTCCTCGTTCAATTCTCATCTTCCACCAGCAATTTCATACGCCCCACGTCCGGCTTCTTTCGGAATTGTATATCCTCGTCCGATTCCGAATTGGGCGAGGGTGTAAAATCTGAAGCACAGGCAGAAGAGTTTGATATGTCTGGGACTGAGGATCCCAGGTTTCCACCCGAATCGAAAGTTTTTGTGGGGAATTTGCCTTTTAGTGTTGACAGTGCCACGCTTACCGATTTGTTCGGCAAAGCTGGAAACGTTGAGATGGTTGAGGTACGTTTAATCTTCGTCTTCCTCAGGAATGCATTTATGGAAAATATCGTAAACATGTTGTCTTGCGTGGGGTGTCGATAATCTTTCCCTAGAGAGCTTATTTGGTGAGCAAGGAAAGGTTAAGGAAGCAAGAGTGGTTTACGATAAAGAAAGTGGTCGATCGAGAGGGTTTGGATTTGTAACTTACAGTTCACCTGAAGAGGTGAACAATGCAATTGAAGTCTTGGATGGCACTGTAAGCATCCTTTTACTGATATTCACATTTACCTATCCATGGATTTGGTGTCTTCACTTACATTATATCTCTGAAGTATTTCGTTTTCTTGCCATTGTGCAGGACCTTAACGGCAGACCTATTCGAGTTAGCCTCGCATACGTCAATAATGACAACATAATTCAAGATCCTTGAAATATACTCATGGCGTTGTAGCTTTGGATTGTAGTTTAACAGTTGGTGGTGGTGATATTTAGCTTATACCATTTCTTCTAAAATCTAAATAAACTAAACTGAGGTTATTATAAAGGAAGTATCAAACCATATCTTGAAAGGACAGCTTAACTTGGAATTCCCAGAAATAACGGTAGGGGTGTATATAAAATCTTGCAAACCAAGAAATTGGCTATGTGAAAATTGATCGAAGATGATCCATGGTAGAAAATGGTTGAGTCTCATCTCATTCAAGTGGACAATCGCCTTCGGGACTGGCAAGCCCCTCTGTTCTTGCGGTGTCCACACAGGACATCCATGGAAACCTCGCAAGAATCAGAAAGTGGTGGCTTTGACACAAAAAATATTGCAGCTTTCGCACAGAGGCAACATTGCGAACGCCAGGAGGATGTTCGATCAAATGCTTGTTCGGGACTCAGTGACCTGGAATGTAATGATCGGCTGTTTTCTTGAAAACGGAATGATTCAACATGCCAGAGAGGTATTCGATGAAATGCCTGAGAAGACTTCGGTTTCGTGGAATACCATGATTATGGGTTACATAAACTTGGGGAAAACTCACATTGCACAGAAGATTTTTGTTGTAATGCCTGACAAAGATGTGGTGAGCTGGACGGCTATGATCACCGGACTGTGCCGTGCTTCACAGGTTGATGACGCATGGTGCTTATTTAAGCGAATGCCGGATGCCAATGAGGTTTCTTGGTCTTCCATCGTGTCGGGATTTCAGCAAAATGGGTTTGCAAAGGAAAGCCTGAAAGTATTCAAAGAAATGTTGGTGGCCGGAGTTCGGCCGACTGCTCATGTATTCACCAGCACGTTGTCAGCTTGCGCCGATTTAGCAGCTGTCTCAACGAGCGAGCAGATATATTCTCAAGTGCTTAAAAGAGGGTTTCATGGCAATAATCATGTAGGAAATTCGGCGATTTCTATGTTTGTCAAATGCGGATGCTTCCACCATGCGAAGCGAGCTTTCCGGGAGCTAAATGAACCTGATCTTGTGACATGGAATGCGATGATTGTCGGATTTGCACAGCATGGATTTGGAATAGAAGCAATGATGATTTTCCATCAGATGCAGAAGGCTCAAGTCTTGCCCGACAGCATAAGTTACATGGGCGTTTTACATGGATGTAGTCATTGTGGTTACGTGGAGGATGGAAAGAAGTATTTTCAGTCCATGGAAACAGATCATGGCATTTCTCCAGTAGCTGAGCATTTTGCTGCAATGGTGGATCTTTATGCACGAGCCGGACACCTTAGCGAAGCATATGAGTTTATATTGAAACAGACCTTTGAGCCAACAGCAGTCTTATGGAGATCATTGCTGAGTGGGTGCAGGATTTGGGGAGCCACAGAAATGGGTGTCTTTGCAGCTGAGCAAATATTAAGAATCGAACCTAACAATTCCAGTGCATGTCTCATGATAATCGATATATTCTCAATGGCTGGAAAATGGAAGGAAGTAGCAAAGATGAGGCAATATATGAGGGACACTCAGACTAGAAAGGAATTAGGTCACAGTTGGATTGATGTTAAGGGGAGGAATTACTTATTCACTACAGGGGATGACATTCATCCAGAGATGGATCAGATTTCAGCAATGGTTGATCTGTTAGCCTATGGCATGTCTAAGCAGTATGTAATGCCTAAGGGGCTTCCCGATTGATTGGAATGTAACACACTATGGTTGGGAGAGCTAGTTTACAAATCCACTCGGACATGAGATCTAATTTGATTCTGGAACTAGAGAAAGGTAAAAACTCTTTACAATAAAACAATTCTACTTACACATGACTCTATATCTAATGGATTGAATTTTCTTGGCATATAGAAAGAATCTTTTTTTCTTGGCATATTTGAGCCTCTGTGTACTTAGAAGCGCACTACAATCCCTACTTTTGCGCACTCCGGCTAATAACATGACACATGTAGGAAGAGACCTTCTTTCAACGTCAAGGGCTATATATCTAGATAGTTTCATACTTACAAGTGTCTTAAAACTATAAGTTCATGGGCACAAATTCACTCTCTACACTATACATGTATGACTTTCCACAGCCTCCCAAATGCCTGTTTTTATGGCACAAGGCAGCTTGCTTGCCCTTATATGGCAAAAAAGCCTTAGAACAACCTCATCTGCAGGAGAAGGTAACACAATAAATACAACAATGAAATGTATAGAGGTTGACAATAATTTAGCTGTATAGAGTGGGGTTCCTGAGAGGTGGTTGATTAGGCAATGATCATTGAAAACAAGTTTGATATGATAAGATGAGTGGGGAATGAACTATAGGCCCTCAGATACTCATTACCTTTGTCTGTGGTTAGTTATTTAACTCAGTCATATACTTCTGCAGGTGGTCTTAATCAGGTTCACTTCTTCAAAAGGCAGCAAAAAAGGATGGCCTTAATCATTGCAAGACTACTTTATCTCCTCTCTTCTTTTGACTTCAACCCCACCCACCAGTAAAGAAGAGGTTAATCCCTGGTGAGTCAGTCCATAGCCTCTGTCTGGCTTGTTAATAATTATCAGTGCTTGTTTTTCTTGAGCTTTTGATTTATATCCATACCTTTGGTGTTTTTATTAATATTAGTTTGGTTTGAATGAAGACTGATCAGCATGCCAATTTGTGGGGAGTTGGGGTTTAGTTAGGCTACTAGAATCACGGTTAACTTTTGGGGTGCTGATGAAAGCCCAAGTAACATGCTTTGTTCCCCTTTTTTGTTAAATTCAAAACTAGAATGATTAATCCACACCAAACCCTTCCTTTAGGACCAGATCACACACTCACTATTTCATTCATCCAAGTAATTCTAACCATGGATCTAATGAATAATTTTCTTTTCTTAATCTCCTTTAAACTACACTTTTTCTGTGTTTCCTTTTACTAAATCAGTAGCCCTTTTAACAGCACCAACACAGTGAGGATCTGTAAAAAGACAATCACCAGTCCATAAACTTGCTGAAGATAGGAAGGATAGGGGTACAAAAGTGAGAAGGTATGGATAAAATTTAATACTAAAAACTCTACCATAACATTAGGGGTAAAGTAAGAGAAAAAGGTAAAAGAAAACTAATCCCAATGCTAAGCTAAGCATAATAAGTGAAGAAAAAGATTAAAGATGAAGTTCTGCAAGGGTGGGCAGACAGACATAAATTCCTTAGCGTGTAAAAGCCAGACAAGCATTACGAAAGTAACTGGCGAGGGAATGGGTCCCTCTATCTAGGCAGAGACATCCTGATCCTACCCCTACCCCCACATTAAAGAACAATATCATCTTTTTGCAAGTTTTGATTTTTATTATTTTCTTACAGTTTAAGAATAATATTTATGTGTGTAAGCAAGTGTTTTGGTTGTTTCTTTTGTGCTTTCTTTTCATGTCTAATGTCTGCAACTAAAGAACTGTTTTGGATTGAGATTTAGATGTGATATTCACGAAATTTACAAGGATAGAGACACACACACACACAAAACACAAACACATTCACTCACATGAATGGGACTTTTCTGTAAAATCTTGTCGTACGTAGAATAGAATTAGATGTTATATATATCTTAGCTTGTTTGCTTGAATGCTTTCGGTGGTGAAGAAGGAAGGCTTTGGGGACATGGTCGGCTCTGTTGGGCTCCACTTTTTGACTCACTTAAATCCTTTTTTATGACTTGTCGGAATTCACCAACGTTACTTAATTACACACACACACTAGCTAGTATATAATTTCCTATCTATCTATCTATCTATCTACGAAAGAACAGAATTAGAAGAAAATGAGTATGAATAAGAAGAAGAGGAAGAAGAAGAAGATTTAAGCTGTTCTTTAATTCCATTTGAAAATTTGCATAGTTTGTTTTGTGTTTCTCCTTTTCCACCATGAAGAGATGAAATGAATATCTTTTTGGTGTCAATTAAAGCAGGAAACAATTATTGGGTTTGAACCCTTTTTTTGTTTTTTCCTCCCCACTTTGTGTTGTGGAAATTAAGGAGTGAAGTGAGTGGTCAATTAGACCAATAGGCATGCTGTGGCAGTACGGCTGCTGCTGCTGCTATATAAACTTTAAATTGTTCACTTTCTTTCTTGCTTTGATTCTAAAACTGCGTAACAATAATGATATTATTATTATTGTTAATTTAATTAATGGAGAATAAGTGAAAGAATAATGGATGTAAGAAAGAGTCAAATGAAGTAAAGTTGGTCGTAATGTGGAAATAAATGCAATGTTTGTTTTAGTTTTCTGCTGCTACAAGTTTCCATATCATATTATATATGTATAGATACAGAGCAAAATGGTATGTATGTATATATGCATGCATGGCCGTCAATTTAGACCAATTAATCAGGTGATGCTTTGCTTTCATGCATGCATCTATTTCTATTTTTATTTCTATTTCTATTTATTATTATTGCACTTTATTCGTTTAATTAACGTAAGCACAACGACTTAATGATGGCTTCAAATTCTTAGGGATTTTTTTTTTTTTTTGGTCAATTGTAGAAACATGAAAGTAAAAATGCAATGAGAAAGTGTGTTTGTTTGGAATTGGATTTTAAATACATTATTCATCTTATTTTTCCTCAAATACTTTTTTTTTTAATATTATATTATATCAACACTTATTTATATCAAGTTATAATCCAAACTCCAAACAAACACACCCGACTTAATGCAAAAATGAAAAAAAAAAAAGGGCATATAGATACTGTAGTAATACTTTCTTTCTTTGTGCACATAAATAAAGATAAAGAAAAAGTGAAAATATAATAATATTTAAATTAAATAAGTAAATGAATAGTAATAGATAAATATTGATTTGTTAATTTTATCAAAATTAATAATTTGATAAATTTAACAAAAACGGATTAGAAAAAATAAAAATAAAAATAAAAATAAGATTGCCGGACTTTGTGAATTGCAGTAACTAGTACAATAGGTTTTAGGTTGTTCGATGGTAGGCAAACACTTGTCCCCACTCCATCCTACATATTAGGGATTTGCTATTCTTATCAATAAATAATATTATTATTCATATGGATCGAAAAAGTCCATATTTTGCATGTCGGCATGTACGGGAATATCCTGAAATTTATGACCTGATATTTTATATAAAATTTTAAAAATTATATAGTAAATAAAATGAAACCAAAAATATGTTTTTTAATTTCATGAGTGATATGTTTCACAGGAAGAAATAATTGTTAAGAGTATAAAAATATAAGAATGAATGTGATATTTTTGTAATAAGATAAAATAAAAGATACTCCCTCCGTCCCAAAATTATAGTCTTATTTGGTTGGACACGAGAATTAAGAAATATTATATTATATTGATAGCGTCCCAAAATTATAGTTTTATTTGGTTGGACACGAGAATTAAGGAATATTATATTATATTGATAGTTGTAAAAAAAATATGAGTAAAAAACTTTATTACCTTTGTGAGTGTAAAAAATAGTGGCATTTATGTAATAATAATAAAAAAAGTAAGGATAATTTTATAGTGATATGAATATTTATGGAAATTAGACCATTGTTTTGGTACGGACAAAAATAATAACCAAGACTATTGTATTGAGACGGAGGGAGTATTAAATAATACAATATTAAATGAACAAGTCCATACTTATATATAAATAAAGTGCACAATGTTTCTTTTGGATGACTTTGATTAGTTTGAATTTGATATTAAAATAATCGTGAAATAAAAAACATAAAATTTAAAATTTAAGAAAATTTGAAAAATTGAGAAATTGTATTGAAGTTTGACTTTTATTTAATTTGTAACGGTATTAACCGCTATTACATATGTATGTATATATATATAGGTGGGCCCATCCATTGGAATCTTATTCTCACGCAGTTTCTCTTTGATTACCACTTCTTAACACTACATATTAATTAATTAATTGATTGATTAACCTTTGATAGTGACAAATGAATTAATTTATTTGGCCTTTTGGGTATGTTATTATTCCACGACCACGACTATTATTATATTTCCCTTAGAAAAATTGGAAATTTATTTGATTGGGACAAAAAATTAATAAATAATAAAAATAAAACATAGAGGGTTGAATTAAGTGAGGGGAGTTTCTAGAGTGGGTTTTGTCGTCATCAACTAACAAAGCAATCATCGAAAAGACTGACTTTTGTCTGTCGGTTTAATTGCTTGTAAGAAAATTCGATTCCCTCCAAATTAGAAGGCAAAAATATATATATAAAAAAAAATAAAAATAAAAGTGAGTTTATATATATGATTGGGTCAATTTATGAGGTCAAAAAGTACTTCACCATTCAACACTTTTGTCCAACCAGGGTTTGTTGCAATCCCTTGATATTTGGCTTTAATTATAAATCTAGAAAATAAAATAAAATAATCAATCATGGTCCAAATCATGTAATAGTTTTTACTGTTTATTTTATCGTGTATTTAATTAAAGAAGAAAAAAAAACCACCAAAATTAAAACATGGTTTTGCAATGAATTTTACAGTAATTAAATAGGTTAATTTGCAGAGGTTTAATTTCATTATCCTTCGATCTGTTTTATTTTCATGTTCTTTTTTCATATATTTAAATTTGTCTAGGAAAGGTTGCCTGTAATGAAAAGAAATAAAAAATTCTAGTTTTGGAATGTTGGTTATGAAAAGAAAAGTTGGCCAAGTGAGAGATGAGAGTATGAGGGAGGCCATATGAAAATTTGTTTGGATTTTATAATGTGATATTTTTATGTTTCACAATTTAATCTACTGCCACGTGTCCTGATGGGGCATTGCCACTCATTACTTTGAATAAAATTTATTCCATATATACCCCTACATATATACCTCTCTTTTTAATTTTAAATTTAAATTTATTCAAAACATTAAATAAAGGATCATTGTAATAGTCAAGTCATGAGTTTAAATAGCCTCTACAAAATTAAAATTTCAAAATATTTTAATATAAATATGAATTAAAGATATAGACTTATTTTAATTCAAAAGTAGAGTGTGGGAAATGAAATTAGTAATGGAGTGTTGCGTGTAGTGGAATATGTCCTAAAATCCACACACACACACACACACACATATATATATATATATATATATAGTTGGACAATAATATTTTGCTGTGGCAATGAGCATTTGCAGAAAAGCACTAAGAAATGGTTTTTAAAATTTATTAAAATTAATATATTACTAAAAATATAAATTATTTTTCAATCCATTATTTATTATTTGTAAAATTAAAATACAATCTTAAAAGTACATATTGTATTTGTTCAAATAAATAAATATTTGTATATAAATACCATTGTCAACAAGCACGAAATTAAGGCTCCGATTGCACATGAATAGTTAAAATTTTTAATACTATTCATTAATATAGTTTTTTTTTTTTTTTTAATGTATCAAATATCATCTTTTTATTATTTTCAAAATTTTCTTTCAAAAAATACATTTGTTTTTTTTATTTTATTAAGATACTATATAATTAATTATTGAAAGTCACATATTCCCACTCTGATGTTTGTATCACAGTTACCACTTCAGTATTTGCCATTCAAGTTTGTTTCCCATTATTCCCATTAATTATTTTACTCCATTAATGTAAATATATATATATATATATATAAAATAATTAAATATTTATGTATATACAGAGCTAGGTAGCTAGCTACACCTACACCTACACCTACACAGCACATGCATGCATGTTTTGCAACAAAAACTAATTTAAATTTAATTAAATATGATTGAAGCCACTAACACAAGAAAACATGCATAGCATGCCTTCAACCCGTGCAAAAGAAAACTAATATAAATTTAATTTAAATTTAAAATTTTACACCACGATATAATTAATTACTTTACCACCCAGTAAAATAATAATAATAATAATAATAATAATTAAAATTATAACGTACTACTCGAGTGTCTATATATATACATTAAATTATTAATTGGAAGATATTGAGAAAGGTGAGAAGAGACAAAGCAGAGGGAAAGGGCAAAAAGACAGAAAGGGCAATGCCTTTGGGATTAGGGATCAAGAACAGAGTTTTTATTAATTAATTAATCAATTAATAATTTTTACACACACATTAATTCCAGCTAGATGCATTTCATTGCATGCCTTAATTAAATAACCGAGTTCCCACAATCCAGGTAACTCTCTCTATCAATAAATAAATAATTTAATTAATTAATTAATACATGGGTTAGCCATTAATTAATCCCTACTTAGTTACCCCCCCCCCCCCCCCCTCTCTCTCTCTCTCTCTCTCTCTAAATTATATATATATATATATATAATGGTGTGGGATTAATTAATTGAAGAATGGTATGGGACATTATTCTAGAGCATGCTTGGTTGCCTTGTGCTTATGAGTTATGGGAATGGGAATGGGAATGGGAAATATGGGATGGAGTGTAATAAACTTACATTTGTTTTCTCTGTCCACAGCACACTTGCCTCTCAATGGAGGGCTTTTCAGGGGGCAACACCTGACCCCCCCCCCCCCCCCCCCTACCCCGCTCTAATATATTATTATTATATGTGAGAGGAGTTCTTGAAAATTTTTAGCACACCCATTAGCCACTTTGTTGCATTCATTCCATAGTGCTATTTTTCATTTAATTATAAGGATTGATTGGTTTTTGGAAGAGTATATATGACAAGAATTGTACAAGTAAGTGGATGATGGACAAAAGGTGCTAATCTTTTCTATACATGCACCCTCTTCACAATCCCAAATCCAATTTAATAATTTTTGCATAAATTGAAATGCCAATTTCATTATTCTATACATATATATATATATATTTAAAAATCACTAGGGTATACTAATAAATGGCCTCAATAAATACAAAAAGCTTGTGAATGAATTGTGGGTGGTTCTTATATGGTAACCATTAATATAATGTATACATTCAAGAATGCCTACAAATTTATGAAATTGTGGTTCACAAAAGTTGAAAAGGATATATAGGATTGGTACGCTCAATAAAAATAAAATATGTGTGCGTAGTCTTAATTGATTGTAAGATCTGAATCATATACATGTCATCATTATCATTCAAAAGTCAATATTATCAATTTATTTTTTTAGCATTAACTACCATTAGTAATAAAAAGGGAAAAAAAAAGAAGAAAGAAAAAAAAAAAGTCTATTTTTCAAAACCCATATTTTTCGAAATCCCAAATGAATAAAATAAATAAAGAATAAAACCAATTAATTGGAGTGGTCTACACGTGCCAGTACATTCGGCACGTGCCAGGACCCTTATAAATAAAACGCTGGGGTATTGGTGAAGAAGAGCCACCAAGAATGCAATAGCCTTCTCTAATCCTTGTAATTTTCCATAACCCAAAAATTCTCTCCATTAAACCCAACAAGATTTTCATATCACAAATTCCCTCTCTCTCTCTCTCACTCTCTCTCTATCTCTCTCTCTCTCTCACACACACACACACATATATATATAGATATATATGTAGGCAGGCACTATAAGCTTACACAGAATAGCTAGCTAGGTGAGAGTATCATCTACAGGGGAGGTGAGGGAGAAGATTATTACGAAAAAGATTCTTCTTTTATTCCAAGTTTTCCCCTGCATTAGGATAACAAAGACAGCCATAACCAGAGAGAGACAGAAAAGAGAATCTCAATGGAGATGGACAGTGAAGCCAAGCCATCAAAGTTCAAGAGGATTTGTGTCTTTTGTGGGAGTAGCCAAGGCAAGAAAACAAGCTACCAAGATGCTGCTATTGAGCTAGGTCAAGTCTTGGTAATAACAATATCTGCTTCTGCTTCTTCCTAAACACACACACACACTTATTCCATTCTTTTAATCTAAGTTTTGGTTGTTGCTATCTAACTAAAAAGTTTATTTAGTCCATATAAAAAAAGTGGGTTGTATCTTTTATTTTTCTTTTTTCATTTTTCCCTTATGTTCCCCTTCCCCCCACCCCATTGGCTCTCTCTCTCTCTGGTTTGAGTTTCACCATTGGAGGAGGTTTGGCATTCCTTCAAGTTTGACTTGATACAAAAAAAAAAAAAAAAGTCTCTGTTTTGGAAGTATTTTGTTGAAGAAGCATTGCATGTAGAATCTGTGTTTATGCTGGTGCATAAAAAAGCTTGACAAAAAGGAAACCCCCCACCCCCACCCCCACCCACCCTAGTTTTTTCATCTTTTAGGTTTTAGTTGCAAATCAATTTCCAAACAGTTTTCTTTTTTTTTTCTGCACTTCGGAGATAAGGTTGTCTCCCTACAGTGTATGTATATTAGTATAACATTTCCACTTCTTGTGTATTTTCCACTAGTCCTGTTGCTGTCATCCACAGGTGTCTCCCCAAATTTTAGAGATGATTCATAAATAACCTTTTCTTTTCCTCAAGTGGATAAGAATATGTGTTACCATAATGTACCATTACAAGTACTCTTCACCATGGTATTTGACTGTGGTAGAATTTTTCTTTACCTCTTTTTCTCCAAACCACTTCTAATTGAATTCCATCATTCTTTAACACCCCCACAACACACCCCACATTATTTCTTGGAATTCATTTTAATCCCCCCTTTCTTTTTCAATGATGTGTTTCTTAAGGTTTCCAAAGACATTGATTTGGTCTATGGAGGAGGCAGCATAGGCCTGATGGGCTTGGTTTCACAGGCTGTTCATGATGGGGGTAGGCATGTCATTGGGTGAGCCCCCCACTTTTTATTATTATCATTCTAATCTCATATTTTAAAAATAATGATATACTACTATGTTTGTGAGTGTTAATCCATTCCTGTACCATTGGCTTCACCAAAAGCTGGGGACACTCTATGATTAATTGAGTTTTATAGTTGTTTGATGAATCTTGACCAAAACTGATAATTTTGTCATGTTATTGTCTCCCTCCCTCCCTCTGCAGGGTTATTCCCAAGACGCTCATGCCTCGAGAGGTATGTATGTATGTCTTCTTGAAAAAAGTCCTTTTAAAACCTTCTAATCCTTCATTATATCTGTGTGTTGTGTTGGAAAAGTTGATTGACCCACCCACAAGTTAAGCTGTTGGGGTTCTTTCTTTGTCATGGTTTCTTTTATTTTTTAATTAGATTTGGTTGAAATGGCCAATCTGCTTTCTTTTCTAGATTACTATAATTATTGTTGTTGTTGTTGTTATTCTTTTTGTATTCCCACTTGCATAATGTGATAGATTGTCCTTGAGTCCTAGATGGTCCTCCACCCCCCCACCCCCCAATCTTATCCAAGGGGCAGGATACACTTGGTGGCTAGTGATTTGTTTACCTACAATCTTTTCATTTTTGGTGTTTATGTAAACAAATTAACATATTATATGTATATTTATCTTCTTTTTCTTGCAAATGCTTCTCCCTTTATTTTTCTGTGCTGTGGTTCTGCTCTGCTCTCTCTGCATCTCCTGTTTGCATTATCTCATTTATTGTACTATAATATATATACTGTTTTTTGCTCTCTCTCTCTCTCTCTCTCTCTCTCTCTCTCTCTCTCTCAAACCCACTATTTTCTTGATTGTTCTTTTGTATTCCTTTTTTGGGTGTAAACACATGTATGTGCTTATCCAGCTTTGGCCTTTGAGTCCACCACTGGCTGTTGAAGTAGCCTTTGACTTTGAACATTTTTACATCAAGTCTATTGGTATTTTTGTCCCCCTTTCCCAATTTAGCTGCACAGCTCCCAATACAAATGCAATGAGTTTTAATGAGTTTGGGTTGGAGGGTTTGTCCATAACCCTTTTTATATCAATTTCCATTTTCAGCTTCTATTAGCAAACATGTTGGCTTGTGGGATTAAAAGTTGTCACCCCTTTTGCAGTTAACTGGAGAAACAGTGGGAGAAGTGAAAGCAGTTGCAGATATGCACCAAAGGAAAGCAGAGATGGCTAGACATTCAGATGCCTTCATTGCCTTGCCAGGTTTGTGCTAAAACCTAAAAAGATAGACTTATGAAGCATTATTGCTTTGCCTTATTTCTGCAATTTAAGTGAAAGTTCTTGGGAATTTCTCAAATGAACTTTGGACCTAAACAGAAAGTTTCAATTTAGTGTTGGCAAAACTATTTGTGGCAAATGGAGTAAAATGCTAAGAAAGCTACAGTGTAGCACAGCATTACGATTACAGAGGCAACCCTAAATTTATGTTTCACCCATATCTTGCACTGAAAATTAGGGTTCTTTGGCTCTGTCTGTCTCAGAGGGGCTGCTGCTTTTTTGCTTGTCCTGATGACACTGCAGCAATAAATAATAAATCACCAGCCTGCTCTAACTGGCAGATGGATGCTTGTCAAATTGTACAAATTTCCCTATTTGAGGTTGTTCAATGGGCTTGGTGCCATTTGGGAATGATAGTGATTATTTTGATTGCATCCCAGAGGTTCAATGAATCAGTGGTCATTTCCTAACTGAATAAAATTATTTGGATGTAGCCAAAAAATACTGAGTCTGTGGTATGAAGCATTTGCAGAGGGTCATCATGATCACATTTACTAGAAAGGATTGGAGTAATAAATTCCCATTCAGACCACACCCCCACCCCCCCACCCCAAAAAAAATAAAAGAAAAACACACACACAAACAAACAACAATTAATTGCATCTTGATCATGTCCTAATATTTTATTGCTTTATGTCTTATTATTACTAATTTTTTAAACCCTAGTAGATGCTCTGACTCAATAACTCTATACACATGCATATATATACATCCACTGGGTGCAAGTTTATATATGCCATCAATTTGTGTAGGTGGCTATGGGACTTTGGAGGAATTACTTGAGGTGATAACTTGGGCTCAGCTTGGCATCCATGATAAGCCAGTATGTCATTATATTAAAGCTTTCTTACTGTAATTGAATTATGGAAGATAGAGGGAGGAATGAATCAAATACCGGTATTTTGTAGGTTGGATTGCTGAATGTGGATGGATACTACAATTCCTTGTTATCTTTTATTGACAAAGCCGTAGAGGAAGGATTTATCAGCACTAGTGCTCGACACATAATAGTATCCGCGCCAACAGCAAGGGAGCTGGTCGAGAAATTGGAGGTACTTATATTCTGTTGTCCTGCATCCAAGTAAATGGCATAATGTATTAGAGGTTTTGCCTTTGAGTAAAAGCTTGAAAGACACCTATAAAAATAAACAGTACATCAAATTTTCTCCACTGCAAAATGCTGCCTAGCTGCTATTGATGCTATGTAAATTAATGTGCCAACAAGCATTTGAAACAAACCAAAGAATCCACAGTCCAGCTACAATTGTTAAATCATAGATGTGTTACAGGAGTACGTACCTCGCCATGAAAGGGTTGCTTCAAAGCTGAGCTGGGAGATGGAACAATTCGGATACTCACAAAAATATGACATGTCCAGGTGAGAAAAAATGAGTTTGCAGCAGCACAGAAGTATTCATTAGATCGTGGACGTTGCCGTTTGAAGAAGCTAACTTGATTTTTACTTTTATGAAGGAGATCTTTTGTATATGTATCTGAAAATGAGCTCTATATGTTGATACCTTCATATTTTGTCAACCGCACTGAAATTTAGTTTGTTTTGCAAGGTGTAACTATCAAATGCACTATGTATTTTCTTAGCTTCTAATGGAATACCCACTATTATGCATGCATCAGTTGTTTTATACACTGGACATTTGTTTAAGGGTTCCCTTAACAGTTTAAATCTTTGACTATAACTGCTTAGCAAGCATACTTAAAAGCAATTCAATATTTACAACATGAAAGAACTCATTTGCACTTGTAACTGTAAAGAATTAACTGTTCTTTTATTTATTTTTCCATTGATGCAAGTTACAGGATAGTGAGGGCAGGTAATGGTAAAATTCTGTCCTACAGCAGGGATGGACCATGTGTTCCAGAATCCCAAAGGAAAAACAGAGGGACCATCCCTAGTGCAAGCATGTGTTCAACTAAATTGGATAACAAGGGAGGGAAATACTAACATAAGGTTAGGGGGGCATTTTCTCAGGGATGAATAAGACAAGACCAAACAACAAATAAATAAAAAATGTAGTGGGGCAAATCAGGGATAAGGGGGAAGAGCCATGTGCCCTGGATAATTCAAGGCCAAATGGAAACTAGTTATGGACCCCGACAGCAATTTCAGTTGAATCTCACTGTCTGCATATGTGGGTGTTTTGTGGGGTGGAAGTTCTCATATTGCCTTGAGAACAACACTAGCCACTTTCATTGTTGGTCCATTCAACAATTGGAACCTTTCTTGAGCCTGACCTCTTACAACATGAATTATGTTTCAATATTTCCAACCTTGATAAACTTGCCACATTCAATCAAGGCTATCTATAAGTCTTTTTAATTTTATTTATTTTCTGCAAAATCATGAAATTTATTGATGTAAAAAAATTACTTAAAGGCATCGGAGGGGGCAAGAATGCTCAAATATTAAACAGTGTGCTTACGTTTCAACCGCTAGAGCCATTTTTCATGAGGTTGTTGCATCTTGCCATTGCTGTGCGATTTGGAATTTGCATGACGTGATTTTCTCCTGAAGAATATGTTCCAAAATCTCCTTGTTTTGACAAGCTTATGAAACTCCTCTTTCATGCTTTGACACTCCTTCTCCAGCTCACTAACACGTTCTCGCACATCTTCCATGCCAGTCACTCTGTCCCTGTGGTGGCTACCGTCGTTCTTGGAGTGTGTAAAAACTGAACTGGGATTATCAGAGGTGTCAAGATTGCTGGAAGCAATGAACCAACCAGAGATTGATGTTCGCAGCCGAAGCTGCTCAAAGAATAAAACTTGCACAACAACTCTTAGTGGTAGTCTCTCATTTTGGGCAGCATGAGTGCTGGCCTCCAATGAAAGCTTCTGGCAATTCATGAATCTACAAATTTGCTCCCTCTCAGGATCCGTGAGCAAAGGATGTGCCTGCCATAACAGTATTTCTTAGAAGTCAATCTGCAAATTCTTGTGAGAGGTGGATAGTTCAACTGCTGGTAGAAGACACTGGTTTCTATACAGTTACAACATAAATATCTGATCCGAGGGCGAGGATGAGAGAGTTTACCTTGAGGTATATGTCGAGAGCACGGTACATACCATCAGAAATTGGCCTAGCATAATCTGGAACTGCTGCAGCAAGGGTTTGGAATTTTGAGAATTTCATGTTAGCATCTGCAGCCACCTCAGCAAGATATGCATCCACCAAATCGGCTACCATTGTCAATGATGATAAGGAGCGTGTCCCATCCATTACATGACTATCTTCAACAATGGATGGAGAAACAGCTGCTGAGGTCTGCTCCATAACCATAAACTGGTCCAAAATTCTCTGGAAGCAATCGATATCATAAGATGTTTCACCAGAATTGCAAACATTTGGGATCAAAAGATCTTCCAAAGAAGCTTGATCTAATTGGAATCCTACTCTCCTCTCCACATTTTCTCTGCAAGACGGACTGGCCTGCAGAACCATAGCAGTTCGGAGCAACCTGAGAAGGAATCTTGTGCTCACAACACCTTTCTGATTCGGAAGTAACTCCACAATCTCCTCGAGAATTTCCCTTTGATCTGCCTCAGAAGTGATGGAAACTGTTGAACTGGAGCTTGGATTTTTGGAGTTTGGTTGTCGAGTCATCTGGGAAATGTATTTCTCCGCATAACACACTAGAGCACCAGCAATACTTTCAGGCCTCATGCCTCCTGCTTCAACAGCACGGATCAAGCGTTTATAGAGAGGCAAACTGAGAAAGGACACATCATCATACCACCAGTCATCACTTACTTGTGTCTTTGTACCAGTGCTTATACCATTCCAAGATGGATCACCGGTAGTACTTTTAGTCTCATTGATTCCAGATGCAGAGCCATTGAGAAGCAAAGGATCACCACAGGCTTTCGCTGCCAGGGAGTGTATGCATCTTGACACAATATGAAGCTTCTCCGCATGTGGAAGAACTTCGTCGCAGGTTTCAAGAGCTTTTATTGTGTCAATCCAATTGCCAAAAACCTCACTAAGAAAAGTCTCTGTTAATGCAATAAGATTTCCTTCACCATACTCTTCAGTCATTTGGAGGTACTCAGCAGCACATCTGACGCTTACAACATTCTCAGATGTAAGCTCGATTTTGACACCATAGCAAAATTTCGCTACTATCTCAAAAGCTTTAGCTCCGCCGGGTAACTCATTTAGTTCCAGCACACAAGCAGATACATCACTACTGCCTGATTTTCCGAGCTGCTTCTCAAACAGTGCACTTTTGGACAGCAAAGGAAACTGCAACATGCCAACATTTTCACATCCAATGTCAAAACAGTAACGTGGTGTATGTACAGACTGATGATTTAGAACGGAACAGAATTCATTTACTTCTTCACCTTGTGGAGATGAAAGGACGTTTCCCCAATCTGAATTATAACATCACTGTGGAGGCCAGATGAGCATTGCCTGGTAAGGGCCACACAGAAAAAACATTGCTTTCATGAAGTGGCATTGTTGCATAATCAAATCCAGTACAACCATTAGCACAAACAGATAACACTCAAAAACCACTCTATCCGTGTCTCAAAATATAAACTCTGATATCAAAACTTGCCGTATAAGCAAGCAACCAGCATATCTATTAATCATATTGTGTAAGAAAATTAAATTGAGGAGCATCCAGTTACCATCTTTGTCCTTCACGCTGAAATACGTCAGTTTTTGAACCAAGCCTCATGTACGCCATGGTAGAATCCGCTCCCAATTTCTTCCCACTGACAATTTTCACCAAACACAAACAGACTAATAAAAATATTACCAACCAAAGCAAGCATGTCAGATAACAGACTCGAGTCCGTGGTTGAATGCTTCCATGAGAATGCGAACGAGTCCATTGGAGGAAGCCTATGAGAGAAATGCAAGGCAGTCGCCCCAGCTGTCCTCCCTCTCCTTCACTTCCTCCACAGTGGAATCGGTCCACTGCTGCCTGGTGGTGCTCGAAACTGCAAAGTCGCATTTGCCACAGCAAAAGTCGGATCACGTTTTCAAGTGCAGTTACGAAAATAACCTTCAGATTGAAAAGTCTTATTTTCTCCACTCATCGATTGACACGTGTAACGCAAAACTCCCCTGCCCATTCTCTTGCTTCCATTGGGCTTTTTCGTCCGTTCACAGTCCATTTTACTTAAATAAATAAATATATATATATATATAAAGTGAAATAATTATTAGTATATAATTTTTTAATGATTTTCTTGTAAAATGTAAGTAGATGTAACTAAAAATTTTGTACAATGATTGTTACTTTTGGTTTGTATTTACTACTAATCATTATGTGGTTATTCTCATTATTTTTTTTTTTACTCACCACTCGAAACAATATATATACTTTAGTGTAATGAAGTTTGGGATTGAATTAAATTCATAAATTATATTATATTATAGTCCAAAATCATTGTTACATATTCAATAGGTTGACCAAACTGATTCTATACATTAATGAAGAGGCCTAGTAATTGTATAGTCGATGACAATTAAATAAAATAGTAATTTTGCTTTAAGTATATTATTATTTTGAAGAAAAAAAAAAAACAAAAAACCCATTAGGTGAAGAGAGAAAATTAAATGCATATGTTGGAGAAGTTTGGTGGTTGATTAATCGTTAGTTGATTAAGAAAAGCTAACCTAAAAATAAAATAAAATAAATTTGGACCTACCCTATTACATATGATATCTGTGCTGGGAAACCTGTCTCATTATCTGCCACATATTTGTCAAATGCTGTTTCTGATTTTATCTATTTATTTATGAAATATTTAGATAATTTTATTTTATTAGGAATTTGGTAAATTCCAAAATTATATATATTATATATTGAAATGAAAAATCAATGAAATAAAGTATCAGGAATTACGTGCTGAGCAGGGAAGCCCATGAGACGATGACACGTATATCTTGATATGGTTGTAGGAAGTTGAAAAGTTCATCACTATGTTCAATAATTTGTTTTGAAATTATGCATTCAATATAATTATATCATTTAAGTTATTCGAAACAGCTCCAATTGTCCAATTAAATGTTTGTGATAAAATAAAATCGGCTCGGGCTAGGTAAATATAATTATTAAATTATTTTAATAAAATGTATTCTTAAAAAATAAAAAATAAAAAAATAAAAAAAAATCATAGTGGAATAAATAAACGACAGAGAGACAAACACAGAGATAGAGTCGCGTCAGTCATCGAACACTGCCGCGACAAAACCCACTAACCTCTGACGTGTGACGTTTCTTGCATTATTAACTCTCCGAATACGACGTCGTATCATGGAGTGATATAATACGCGCTCTGTTTAATTGTGTATATATATATTTTAATTATGAAACACATAAATAAATAAATAAATAAATATATTAAAAATATCTATTACTAGTAGTTTATTATTTTTATATTTATTTTCGGCACCCAACTTATAAAAATTAAATTTAGTTGATGGGTCGCTGTCACTGTGGGGATTGGACAGTAGTGTGTGTCAGTGGTCTTAATTAATGACATAATAAATAATAAAATAAATACTAAATAATAGTGTCAAGACCACACAACACAACCTATGTCATACTGTCACGTCTTAATCATCACTTGGGAATGTTATTTAATTTATTTAAATAAAAAAGTTAAATAAATGAATTTCCGATTCTCAACGTACAGTTTGTAGCCAATGAAATGTCGTTTGCTATTTATCATATGGAAAAAGTGATTAATAACCATTAATATTGATTAATTAATGTGATAGACTATAGTTAATAGGCGTAGCATACTCTATGCCAAAAACTCTAATAAAATTTAATTTTATTCTTAATCATTTTACTATATGTATTTCGATTTAATTAAATATAAATAAATTGAACTAACTTCATTTGAATGATTTTGGAGAAAACAATGAATTTTATTTTATTTTATTTTTTTTCTTACATTGGACGGGTGACGTTTTACGTATCTGTTGCAGTAATAAATATTTTAATTAAATCCCTTTTTTATTTATTACAAGTATTTAATGTAGAAATTAATTTTCAATGTATCTATCTATAGACCACAAAGATTTAAATTTTGTTGCGACGACATGCTCCATTTATTCATTCGCCAATTTAATGTGTTGGAACTTTTGGGGAAGCAACTTAGGAATATAAAATATGTATATTTACTTGAGCTGGCAAAAAAATTAACACGATCTGATAATCCGAGCCGAACCTGACTTGAATTAGTTGGGTTTGGGTTGAGATTTTCGATCCAATTAATAATTGAGTTAAACTCGTTTAACCCATTTAATTAAATGAGTCAGGTTAAGGTCTATATTTTCGATCTGAAAAATAACCAGTCTAACCTGTTTAATTAATATTATTTTAAATTTAAATATATTTTTAAAATTTTATCAATACAATTCAATATTTATGTCCAATTTTATAAAAATAAACGATAAAAAATAAAGGATTGTGTTGTGTACTATTACGTAGTATTTGTTAATTCAATTCTTAGAATATCGGTTTCATGATATTAATAAATAATTTTTTGCTTTAATATGTATATATATTATGCATTTAAAAATTTTGTTAATATAAATTTTAATTTAAAATTAAAATTTAAAATTTTCAGATTAAACGGGTTATACGAGTTAAATTCAGGTTGACCCGATTAATAAAAAGTCAGGTTAAAGTTGCAAATATCAACCCATTTAATTAAATGGGTCAAGTTCAAGATCAAAGGTTTTGTAATCCGTTTAAGCTGATCTGACCCGACCCGACCCGATCTGTTTGCCGGCCCTAATATTTACTGTAATTTTATTTTATATCGACACATTTAAATATTATAACGTTTGAAGAAATAGTATCATAAATATAAATATATAAAATATAAGCAAGGGAATAAAACATATTGGTAATTTATTCTTACAATAATTTTAAATATATATATATATATATTTATAAAAGGTAACCCAGAACCAATAATTTATTAGGTAGAATTTAATATTGGGTGGTCTCATTTTCGTTGTCCAAAATCGGTAATGTTATTACAAATCATGGAAATTGGTCTTGAATTTTATTTAATTGTTGCTTATCAATAATAGTAAAGCGTGCACCTTTTATACATTAATCAAATTTATATTTTAGTTAAAAATTATAAACATAATCATTCTTTTATGTAAATAAAATTATATTCTTGTCACTATGTGAATAGATTGAGAAATAAAAAAAATTACATACGGTCCACTATTGAAAATTCCTTTCAAATATTTTAAAATAATAATAATAATAAAAAAAAAGGGTACCCCGACACGCGATCCATAGCTTAATAATATATAAAGAGGAATAATATATTTAATATCCTTGTTTTAATTGCATTTGCCAGTTGGCCACTCTTGTCTAAATTGCCACATGCATATTAAATCTTTTACTTCTTCTAAATTTTTATTTAATCGTAATGAAATGATATTTTTATAAATTTTGACAATGTATACAAAAGAGTGTCTATAATTTTAAATATTTTGGTAAAACTACTCCAATTTTATTCTAAAATTAAATAGCACACAATTGTGTTGCCATAAGTGATAAAACGAGAGATCCAAGCCGAGTTGATAAAGTTGTAAATTAGTTTTAGCGTCTGAAAGTCGAAGATCGGCTAAAATAGCGTGGGAAGGTACAACAGTGGATTCTTCAGATCCGAAGAAAAAGGTGAGAAATATATTTTATTTTTTATATTTTTATTAAAAAAAAAAAAAAAAAAAAAAGGAGAAAAGGAAAACCCATTCAGGTGAAAAAGTGAGGGATGGGAAGGAGTTGCTAAAAGGCGTTTTCTGTGTTGCTTCGAGGACTTTCACAGACAGACATTTTTGTGGAGAGAGAGAGAGAGAGATTTTTTTATCTGTGCGAGAATGGAGTGAAGTGTGTGACTATGGGACTGGGAGAAAAATTGAAGTAAAAGAAAAAAAAACCCATCTACTTTCTTTCTCAGCTTCAATCCTTTTCTTCAAATCTCCAATTTTTTTTTTTGTTCTTCTCTTCCCTTTGCGTTCACGTTTGCTGTATTATTATTAGGGTAATTTTTTTTGATTGCTTGCCTTGGATGTTTAATTGGTTGTAAAATTCCATACATGGGAAGATGAAATTTAGTGTTGTTTTGATTCCCAGAAATTGAATTCCGCTGTGGGATTCTAATTTTTGTTGGGGAAGAAGAAGTGAATTTTGGGTTCATTAGCTTGCTTGTTTTGAGAGATCATTTTGGGTCTGAATCAGGGGTTTCTTGAAACCTCTGTAAGAATTTGATTCTGAGCAGACAGATAATAATTACTCTGTTTATTTTGGCTGTGAAAATAAGGGGTAAGAAATCGAAATTGAAATTGAAATTGAAATTGAAATTGATTTACCCCAATTCAATAGTTCTTGTTTGTTTCTGATATATATATATATATATATATTTCATTTTTATTCTTTTACAGAAGCTCAGATTCTTGATTTTGGATTTTGGATTTTTACTGGTAAAGAGAATGATTAACTTCATGGAGTCTAAAGAAAGCTTGGTTGAAGACGGTGACAAATGTTTGGATCCTCAGCTATGGCTGGCCTGCGCCGGCGGCGGCATGGTGCAGCTGCCGGTGGAGAATTCGACGGTGTTCTATTTTCCTCAAGGGCACGCCGAACATGCTTCCGGGAACGTCGATTTCAGGAGTTGTCCCAAGGTTCCCTCTTACATTCCATGTCGGGTGTCTCGAGTGAAGTTCTCTGCAGATTTCGAGACAGACGAGGTATATACGAGGATGAGGTTGGTGCCAATAGGTATGACCGAATTGGACACTGACGACGGCGGCGGCGCCGCGGCTGAGAATCAGGAGAAGCCGGCGTCGTTTGCGAAGACGTTGACGCAGTCCGACGCCAACAATGGCGGAGGATTTTCAGTGCCGAGGTATTGCGCCGAGACAATATTTCCTCGGCTGGACTACTCTGCGGATCCTCCCGTTCAGACAATCTTCGCAAAGGATGTCCGCGGCGAGACATGGAAATTCAGGCACATTTACAGGGGGACGCCGCGGCGGCATCTGTTGACGACGGGGTGGAGCACTTTTGTGAACCAGAAGAAGCTCGTGGCGGGAGATTCGATCGTGTTTATGCGATCAGCGAATGGCGATCTTTGCGTCGGGATTAGGCGAGCCAAAAGAGGCGTCGGCCGGGGTAATGATACTATAATCGGTTGGAATCCGGTGGGCTATAACGCCGCCTTTCCGTACGGTGTTTTTCCAGCGTTTATGCACGAGGACGAGGCTAAGTCGAGCGGTAGAAATGGCGACGAAAGCAGCGGCGGCAATGGCTGGATTGGGCGCGGGAAAGTGAAGGCGGAGGATGTGATAGAAGCAGTGAATTACGCTGCCCGCGGGCAGCCGTTCGATGTGGTTTACTATCCTCGGGCAAGCGCGCCCGAGTTCTGCGTAAAGACAGCTCTCGTGAAAGCAGCATTGCGAAACCGGTGGTTTTCGGACATGAGGTTTAAAATGGCGTTCGAGACGGAGGATTCTTCGCGGATAAGTTGGTTTATGGGGACAATATCTTCGGCGCACGCTGCTGATCCTCTGCAATGGCCCGACTCGCCTTGGCGACTGCTGCAGGTAATCTGATGTTGTAATAAACTCATTTTGCGACTGTTTCTAACCGTTGGTGAATGATCGATTGCGATTGCGCAGGTTTGTTGGGACGAGCCGGAGCTGCTTCAAAATGTGAAGCGCGTCAACCCGTGGCAAGTCGAATTAGTGTCGAACATGCCTGCGATTCACTTCTCGTCGTTTATACCTCCCCCGAAGAAACTGAGGTTACAATCCGTAGAGGGCCAGATTCCGGTGCCGGCGTTTTCAGGCAACCCGATTCTTTGTACTAATTTCGGCTGTCTTTCGAACAACACTCCTGCTGGCATGCAGGGAGCCAGGCATGCTCAATTCGGATTGTCGTTATCGGAAATACACCTCAACAAAATGCAGTCGGGTTTGCTTCCCGACGCTTCTAATTTCGTCGGTTCCAAGTTCATCGGCAACGATAACGTTTCTTGCGCGCTCACCATTGGCAATCCGAGCCAAGGAGCGAAAAAAACAGATAACGGGAAATCTGGGCCGTTGATACTATTCGGAACGCCAATGCTTCCGGAGAACCACACGTCCGAGAGCTGCTCGACCGATCGTAACAGTAGCTTCGATCGAGTGAAAACTGTTTCGGACAGTGATGTCCGAGATCCAATCAAATTAGACGAAGGTTTCCACGGCCATTGCAAAGTTTTTGTCGAATCCGAGGATGTAGGCCGGACTCTCGACCTCGGTCGACTGAATTCTTACGAAGAACTTTACAGTAAGGTAGCGAACATGTTCGGGATCGAAGCTTCGGACATGCGAAACCGGGTTCGGTACTGCGACGACGGCGGCGAAGTTCGACGGCTGCTTGCAGATGCACCGTTCAGGTGAGTTTGTTTAGCTCTCATCGTTCATTACAATAATAATGTCGTTTGTATTAATATTAATTTCTGCTAAATCGATGAATTTTATTGTGGTGGTGTAGTAACTTCGTGAGAACTGCAAGAAGACTTACAATCGTAGCTGATAACGATAACAATGGAGCTTAGTGTCGTAGATGAGATGGATCGATCATGAAAGTCCCACTTTTAGGACAAGATTGTTTGTCGAAGACGAGGATTGATCAATTAAGGTTCGATGAATACTAAGTAATACTAATTCAGGTTGTCACGAGACATTAAAATTAATTATTACTGTTCTACTTTAAGTTGTAGTTTTACTTTTGTACAGATTCTCAGTATCTTGATTGAATAATTCAATGAACATTAATATTTCTAGATATCTGGGCATTCTAATTATTTCCCACTTCATTTATCATTAAAAGATCCTCAACTTTTAACACTTATGTAATAGGTTACTGACGATATTTTCAACATTTATTTCGTGAGTTATTTGTATATTTTATAATCCCTCGGTCCTATAACATAGTATCAATTTTTCCATTTCAGTGCGTCCTATAATAAAGTATTCATTTCATTTTTTAATAACTGTACTATCTACCTAACATTATAAATACCCTTACAACTTACAATATATTACACAAATGTCATTACCTTTATATCACACGTACTAATAAGATTATTTTAGTCATTTCAACTTTATTTCTACTATATCCCAATATAATATTAATATTTCTAGAACTACGTACAAAAATCAAATTGATACTTAGTTTCGGGACGAAAAAAGTATTTTATTGCATGTATGTTATATCATCATTTTGTTATTTCAAGTGTGGAAATATTGACCAATTGGAAAATATGCCAATAGTAGGCCTATTAGGGAATCTCCAACTTCATTTGAGGGGGTTTGAACCCAATTCCATTTTTTACTTTAAAAATTGAGTAAGTTTTTAATTTTGTAATCGAGTATTTTTGTATTTTTATTATTTTTTAAGTGTATTGTATGATTTTATTTTTAAAAAATATTTTTTGTAATTTTAATTTTAAAAGAATGATATATAATTTTTTTTTTTTCGGGAAGGGATACATAGAGCAATAAAAAGTTAAAATTAAATATAATTTATAAAATTGAAATGTTAAATAAAATAAGATAAAAAATAATATATAGAAATTATTTTTTAAAGTAAAAATAAAAGTTTATTATTTTAATAGAATGATAAATCAAATGTATTTTTACTATTCTCCCCCTCCCATGAAAGATGTCTTTGAGAGTGAGTATAAAGTACAAGGTAAAACGAATAATTTTAAAAAGTAGGTTAGAATAATAATTAGAGGTTTTGAAAAAGTACGAATAATTTTGTTATAAAATAGAGACCAATGAAACAAGACAATTGTTTTGGAACAGACAAAAATAAAAAAAAAAAAAACAACTTTATTGGGACGAGGGAGTAAAATATATCAAGTGGATCTTGTTTGTAAAATAAAGAAAAAAAAAAAGATATTCAAGCAATAAGTACCCAGCAATAAAAATACATATATTATAATATAAATAATTATATTTTTAAAATTAAAACAATTAATTAATTTAATTAAAAGTAAAAAATTATAAACTATAAAATTAAAATAAAATTAAAATACTAAATCATTTAAAAGAAGAATGTGACAAAAAATGTGAGATGAAGCAAAATGATAAATTTTCAAAGAAAGCAAACGAGTAAAAGATAAAAAAAAATTACTACTCATTATTTATTTTTACTAAAATTATATTCAAATACTCTGAGCATAAGAAATTTATTAAGAAATTATTAAAAGAATATTAGTAAAATCATTAGTATCAAACAATAATAATGAAGGAAGGGGTGGACCCATATATTATATTAAAATAGGCCCATCATTAAATGAATATTCAGTTCGCCAACATGAATATTTTAGGGTTCAGACGTGTGTACGTATATATATGTCTGTATCTACTCCAAAGTTTGGGGTCTGAGAATAAACCCAAATCGAGGGGAGGAACTTTTCAGATTCATCTTTGTAGTTTTCGAAGACTGTCACGTTTTTTGCAAGTGCTTGCGCTACCGCTGCGCCTACCTCATTCTCTTGAGGGATATTGCTATATGCTTTTCATCGTGATATTTATACGCTACCGTTTCCCGTCAGTGTTTTGGGTGTGGGTCGAAGTTCGTGGTACGTAATGCCTTTTTGTTTTTGTTTTTAGTGTTTATAAAATCGGTGTTTTTTTTTTTTTTTTTTTTTTTTCACGTGTATATATATATATATATAATGTATATATATTCTGGGGAATAACTGACGAGTAGTAGAAGCTGAAAACTGGGTTGCTTGCATTTTTAAGGGAAGCATGGACGATGTTTGTATAAAGGGTGTGTGTGATTGTTCTAGGTTTTTTTCTGAAAGTGCATTGTCGTGTACTCGTGTGTATTAGGAACGAGAGTGTGGGTGATGAAAATCGTAGCCTACAGGTTTTGTATTTACGTGGTCTGTTGATGGTTGTAATCTTAGGAAACGAAGCATTTCCATAACTGACCTGGGATGTGCTGTCTGTGAGATATATTTTTCTCTGTAAGCTCAGAGAGAAAAAACAGAGGGTAGTATGAGTGAAGAAGATAATGGAAGAAACGGTATTGAAACTGAGGGGGAAGATAATCTGTGGGCTAATGTTCCAAAATCAAAGAGGCTAAGTGGGCGTGCGTTTAGACAGTTTCTAATATCACGGGCCAAAAGGGTCAAGAAATCAGGTAATTTGTTTATATGTGTTCTTATATGTTTATTCTAATCTACTTGTAGTGATGTGCAATCATATAGGGATCTGAAATTTATGGAAATGGGGCCATCTGCTAACATTTATTTAATGTTTTTGGCTTCATGTGACTGAACTATCTGGAATATTTGATAGATTGTGCATGTTCTGCTAAAGATATCATTTCCATTTGGCAGATCATTCAGTTGTGAAAAGCCCTAGGCCCGCTCAAAGTGGGGGAGATATAGCTGACCCAATCCTAGTGGACCCAGATGACACAACAGATGAACGTAGCTCTCGTTCTGGTTCAGGTTCTGGTTCATCCCCTGTTCAAGAAAGGTACTAGCGCTTGAAACAGTTCAAATCATTCACTGCTTATTGGTTTTAATTTCAGATATGCCAAATGCTGCTTTGGTGTTACATTTATTCATTATCCCTTCAGTCAGTTGAATAGTTGAAAAACATGGTACTTTGCTATATAGGCTGGATTTTGTGCTGAGACGGGTGATTGATATTGATCAAGGTCAGGCGGACATAAGTAATGGTTCAAATCAAACTGCAGTAAGTTTCATTGACACAATTCACACGGTTTTCTTAATTGCTCTCTGCTGAACTTGTTAACCATTTTGGTTTAGTAATATACATGTTAGAGAAGATATCTCTTTACTATCACATTGCTGCGGATTGAACTTTCTAGCTGTCTTTGGGCAGATATTTTGGAAAACAAGTGCATATTGTGTACCTTAAGCTTGTGCTTTCACTTTCTTAATCCACATTGACAATGGTTTTTAATGATATATTGTACTGATTTTATTGAGGTTTTATTATAATTAAGTTGCAGAAAAGGAAGCAAAAGCTGGAAAATCAATGTAACTTGAACACGTCTGTGCAGAACAAAATTTTGGCACAATCTGCCGCAAATGAACTCGAGTCTACCACGAGTTTTGTTGAGCACTGGGTTCCTGTCAGGCTCTCAAATGTTCAAATTGAACTATATTGTGGCTATCTCTTTTCAAATGCACCAGTATTATGCTCTCCTCTAAAGCATGAGGCCTCGGATTTCCTCCGTGACACACTTCTCTCTATCAGAAAGGTTTGGATTTTCACAAAATGTCCTTTTGGATTTTGCTTGATGTGGTATGTCTGATTTTAGTCTTTCTGATTTGATTATATTTTTCTTCCTCAGTGTTGTGATCATCCTTATCTTGTGGACTCGTCTTCGCGTACCTCTTTGATACAAGGGCTTCCTGAATGTGAACGGTTGGATGCAGAGATTAGGTTGAGCAACAAATTGCTTCTCCTTTACAAGATGCTTCTGGAGATAAGAAATCGAGGATTGAGAGTACTTATCCTTTATCAGGTTGGTTCAACTATTTCCTGCTTTAACCTGATCTTACTCCTATTAATTTTAGTATATAGAAAGGTTTCAAACCTTTTTACTATTGTAACCTATTTATAGTATTCATGTGGGTAGATGCAAATACCTATTTGTCTTTTAGATTACTGGCTACCAACTGATTATTTTATATTCTCTTCAGTGTGGACTCTTCTTATTATTATTTTATCTTTTTTCCCTTAAAATCATGCTTTGAATATAACTTCCAATATTGTGATAGTTCTCTCTTTTAATATGCCGCAATACAACAGTTACATGAGGGCACGGGATGCGTTTCAATTGGGGATATCTTGGATGACATTATTCATGAAAAGTTTGGGAAGGATTCTTTTGTACGGATAGTTGGAGGGTCATTGTATCGGGCTAGAAGGCGTGAAGCGTTAAAAAACTTCAATGATAAAGGGAATGGCAATTTTGTTTGCTTGATGGAAACTCGGTGCTGTGTTCCAGGTGTGGAACTTTCAAATATAGACACTGTTGTTATCTTCAACAGTGATTTGGACCCTATGAATGATTTGAGGGCTTTGCAGAAGATAAAGCTAGATTCCAAATTTGCGGCCGTGAAGATCTTTCGCTTATATTCATCTCACACTGTGGAAGAAAAGGCACTGATCCTTGCCAAGCAGGGCAAGTCTCCAGAAGGCAATATAGTAAATGCAAAGCACAGTATGTACCATGGCATGGTGACATGGGGTGCCTCCTATTTATTTAAGATGCTAGATGAGTTCCACAACTTAAGTATTGATGATGCACGTTCTCCTGCTTCTTATAAGGACTCCTTTGTGGAGGAGGTCTTAACTGAATTGTTGGCCTTATTGTCCAGCAATAATAAGAGTAACACTTGTAATAGAAAATCAGTTATCGTCAAAGTACAGCAGATTGGAGGTCTATATTCTGGGAACATCTCTTTACTCGGTGAAGTAGAATTGCCTCATATGGACAATTTTTCGACAACGGAGGGGATGCTAGTCACAGAAGCACCAAATGTTTTCTGGACAAAACTACTAGTGGGAAGGAACCAAAGGTGGAGATACTTTTCCCGTCAATCACCAAGGACTAGAAAAAGATGGCAAAACATTGATGGTTTGGCCGAACAATCTGTCAGGACAGACACAACTTCCAAGGACTGCAGAAAGGCACCCAGAACCATTGTTCATGGAATTTCTGCAAGCAAGACTCTAGAGATGCTTTACCGTCGAAACAAACAAACCAAAGATCCAGGTATTTACATCGTATTTTTGTCGTTGAACAGTTGGTATATATATAAGGACTTAATATTTGCTCAAATGAATATCATCATATGTTTTGACTTAAGTAATTCCTTTCAAAACTATGTATCCAGGCCAAACAAGAGACGGTTTAGTCCACCGGAAAGCTAAACACAACACATTAGCACTGGACAGAAGGGTAGAAGCAGCCCAACAAAATGAATCGGATGAACCAATTACAAAGGAACCACAGTCCCTAGTAAGCAATGCGGGGTTTCTTATTTCCTTCTGTGTCATTAGTTTTTAGTTGGCATTTACTGGATGTCTTGCTAACATGCCATCCTTTGGGATTGTGTTGTTTCTTTGATTGTGTTGTCCATATATCAGCAAGTATGATCCTGTAAAGTGGCTTCTTCTCTTCCATTCTGCGTCTGTAGTGTAGATGCTTCACTTATCTGGTGAAATTGTTTACAAATAAATATGTTTCATTCCAAAGTCTTTCAAATGATTGGTCTCACTGCTTCACTTCCACAGCTGCTGCCTGATCAACATAGTCATATCCCTTCATGCTCAACCAGTCAAAATGATCATATCGGCCCTACTGAACAATCTGTTGAGACTTCTTCCAAACGGCTGAAATCTTCAGTTCAACATTCAAGAAAAGAGATGCCTCTGCAAAATGCACGTGCTGCACTATCTACAGTGGAAGATGGAGAAGAATCAGGCACTATCAATCAAGCATTTGTTTCACCTACAGTGGAAGATGAAGGAGAATCAGGCACTATCAATCAAGCATTTGTTTCACCAACTTCTTTGAGTTGTGGGCATCCAATTGCCTCTCAAATCTCCAGCATTGAGGCACGAGATTCTGTTTGTGGTCATATTCCTTCTTGCACAATCAGTGAAATTCACTATCATGATGGCCATAGAAATTCAACCTGCCAATTGGAATTTTCTGTTCGACAACCAACTAGGGATGAGCCTCTGCAAACTGCATACACAGAACCACCCACGTTGGAAGTTTGGGGAGAACCTGGGATTGTTATTCAGGTCCTTAATTCACAACCTATTTTGAATTGTGAAAATCCAGAAGCCTCTCAAATCACTGGCATTGTGACACCAGAACTTGAATGTATTGAACTCCAAATAGAATTGGACAGACTAAAGAAACAGAGAGATGAAAGTTTAAAACTGCATTTAGACAAGGTATTCCCTTTTAAAATTATTTTCAACAATTCCTTTCGTTGATATGCACTCATGATTAACTTTCAGCTATTTTTTGACATAATGAAGAAAGTGGAATTGCAAATGGCATGTGAGAAGGAAGTTGATCAAATTCGTAAAAAGTATGATATGCTGCTTCAGAATGCTGATGTGGATTTTGTGGAGGAGACTAGAGTTCTTGAAGCTAGATGCGACATGGTCCTTAAACATAAAGTGTTAGCTGAGGTTATCATGAAGAAAAGTAGTTTGAAAGATATAACTGTCCCTCAAGGTTTGGGGTAATTCAAGTTGAACTACCATGCATTTGATTTTCTGAAGCAATGTCAAAATTACCACTTTTATAGCTCTGCATTCTGTGGGAACCTAATTCTTGCATGAGAAGAATGATTATTTGACTGCATTTGATATTTAAATTCAGACATGACTGAAGTTATGTTATAATGCTGTCACCACAATGTAGCTTTTGACACACTGTTATTTAGCAGTAGCTAGTAACTTTATTCCGGAGGAGCTTGGATCGAGCATGAATCGAGGCACTGAAGTGGGTCATTCGGGTCCTACAGTCAGCTCAACTCAAAACATTCCCACCTCCATCTCAAGCAACATTTAACCGGGCTACCCTATCAGATCCCCTGCTCCACACCTTAGGAATATGGTGCGTGCTTTGCCTGTTACAGCACCAACAGCATCAACTCCAAAAAGGACTATCATTTCACCTGTCAGACTTCAGACTGTTCAATCTAATACAGAAACTCAGGGTGCATGGGGACACGCCTCAAACTGATTATTGAAGATATTGATAAGCAATTGCAGAAACATTTGCGGGTACATCCTTTCCTAGACTTCTCCAGAGTTCTAGACTGCTTCCCTTAAAGTGAACACCATATGATTGTGTACAAAATAGGATCAAAAGTTTACAGGTACTAGATGCTACTAGATTAGCTAGATTTTTGTTGACTCTAGTTGATAGCATGGTGTACTGATCAATGAGCAACTAACTGCTGTTTTGGAAACTAGCTATGCAGAACAAAGTGATATATATATATTTTTTACAAAGTGAGATATTTGCAATTGTTAATTGCTTAATCACTGTTTTTGTTATACATTATTTCTAACCTTCTGCAAATATATATGCTTAAACTGTTTTCATACCTTATGTATATTTTTACTGCTTTAATCAACTCTAGACAAACAAATCAAATCCATATGTGATTCTGAGGGGCTATCAACTTGAAGAACTGGAAAATTAAGATGATAAATATAGTGGAAATATGCTATCTCTTGAAGCTGTTCAAGAGAAAATGTTTGAATTTCATAAGTAGGTTGCATATGCTTTACTGCATCAGATGCCATGGTTATGATAATAAAAATAGCATGAGCTGAGCAAAAATACTAACAAATTTCGTCATATTGATTGTTAAAGTTGGCAAGTATGAGTGAAAAAGGGAAAAAGCTGTGAAGGAGGAAAAAGCAAAGGGTAGAAAAATGTACTTGAGAAAGAAAGTTAGCACTTAGCACACGCTGGATTAAAATATAAGAGGGTCTTAACTAAACCTTGAGCTACATGTGTGTTATGCCCACCAACATGTGCATCTCATTCACACTTATTCAAAGCCCACTTGATAAATCAATCCTCAAGCAATCATAAGTCTGTCCTTGTCTTTTGCTGCATCTGTGGAGTATAGGTAGCGAGTGTATCTTGTCATGTCGTGACATCAATCTTGAAATTTTCATTCACTTCCTCTTCTTGCTTTGAATGAAGCTGCAGCATCAATTTACTATTCTGTTTGTGGGCTAACCTCTGTTAACAGTCTATTGATAGGTTTTTATATCTGTTCCATGTCATTCTGTTTGGATGACATCATGTCCTACTCCATGGAATAGTTCTTCAACAAAGAGATTATATATCATAAAGAAGCTGTCGTTCTTCATTATGCAAAGGCAAAAATAGGGGGTTTACCTAGTGCGCACTTTCGGTAGCGACTGCAGATTCCCACGTCATAAAAAAAAAAAAAAAAAAAAAAAAGAGGCTCAGCCCATTTTTGCAGTTCAACCTTTTTTGAATTTCATAGGGTGGGGCAGTATTGACGTAATTTTGCCTACATTGCTATCCTAAATTATATTTTTTACTGCTTCACTGTAAATTATCTTGTTTACAAAGGTAAATTATTACTGCTGCATTCATACTAGTAGTATTTTCCCTGCCTGGGTTATTGAGCATGAATTTCCAGTAAACAAAAATAGATGCCTTAAAGTGATTGTGCTATAATATGAGCAAGTGAGGTCTTCGAATACTATGGTTTCTGCAATCTGAATTTGATTGGCTTCTTCTTTGTTGCTTTTGAACTTTCACTATGTTTTAAAGAGATCCTAGACAATGTTCAACTAAGTTCAATAAATTTAAAGAGTCGGGAAGATTTGAAACATTGTCTGGCCTCTAGCTGTAGCTTCTTCAATTGCTTGATGGCCTTTTAACTGAAGCTTTAACTTGACAATCGAAAGGCCAAACAAAGAAATGTTACTGAATTGAAAGAATCAAGGGGTGGTTATTACTAGTTAAATGGGTTATAGTTCACGTGTTTACATACCACACTGGCTGAAGCACTCGCTGAAGAAAATTGCTTAATGATTAAAGCTGCTATTCAGGCACCGCAGAAGAATGAATATACATATTGCGCTTGAACATGTTATACGATATGTTAAGGAGTTAAATGACAATGAATGAGATATGCTGCAGAGTCAATGCTTGCTGCAAAACTGTCATAAGAAGGTGCACAGTCGTCGATCCTGTGGAGATTTAGCGCACTGAATAACACTGAGGAAGATACTCTCGTCGCAGGGAATACAAAGCCTTGGGTCAGCAGCAAAATCATAAACTTCCTGAGCTTGATCCAAGAGTGCCTGGAAAAGTGGATGCTTCAGTAAGGTAACTTTAATCACAAACCTCTTGTGGTATTCTCCCACATACACCACCATATGACCCTTGGGCACATCGCTCGGGACACTAATCTTCTCTTGGTGCATCAAAGTCCATTCAGACCATTTGCAGCACCCTTCGCAGGCTGCACAAGGTATGACTCTTTGACTCATTCTTCCCCACTTTTTCATGCATGCTTTGAGAATCTTTCCTGTCCTAAAATTCATCTATGTGTTTAGAACTTTGCACTATAGGACTGATGGGATTGCCGTGGTGTACTTATTTTTGGGGATTGGTGTTGGTTGAATGTCAGGAATAGGAAAGGCTTATATAAAGAGTTGGAAAGAGCCAAGGGTTTTAGAACATTAAATGGTTTGACAAATATGGGTGTAGCTAAGAGGTAAGTTTAGTGTGACAGTGATTTGTTTTTTAAAAAAAGTGCAGATTGATCAGATGTACCTTTCTCTCCCTTATTTAGTATTGCATCTCTATACGAAATTGTACGAACATGCATTGCATGATTGAGATTAACATTTCTGCTATAAAAAAAGAGGATATATCAATCAGCAGCACAGAATCTTCTCTCTCTGTGATCTCTCGAAGTTAGACCCACCAGTAGAGTGAAAGAATAGATAAGATACGAAATAGGGATGGGATAGATAAGCTTCTTGGGCAAAGTGCAATATCCTCTTATAACCCTCTTCATAGATATTATAAAAAATCAACCTTCTCTCTTTGTATCTCTCTCTCTCTCTCTACATTATGGAAGGAGATGGAGATACAGATGCAGATGCGTTCATTTTTACATCCTGTTAATTTGACCAATAGACAACTGTAAGGGTTGGTGGTGGTTCTTGAATCAGGGTTAAGAGAATTCAATTCATGAAGATGCACTTGAGTTGAAGGTTCCAAATCAGTCAACTACTTCATGACAGCTTTCCTAATTTGCTGACTAATGATGTTTAGATTGCCATGGTATAAAAATATTGTCAGTTAGTGATTTATTTTTAGGATAAGGAGATTATCAAATTACGGGATCATATGTTCATGAATCATAAGTACAGGAAGCAAGTACTGACCGTACTGGTTGTATTCTTTATGTGGGCACATAACTCTATCCCTGACCTGACTCAGGAAATTATATCACATAATTTTTGCAAATCTTGTCTCTCTGTTTTCTGAATTCTGACCTGATAAGCCACCATACTTTGTTGCCTCAGCCTCAAAACCAGAAACCAGAAGCACATCACTTCGCTGTCTTCAAGAACTGAGAAAGAAATGTAATGCAGTAAGGTAAACCAGGTTTGACATGGTCATTATTTCTACATATTTTCATGCATTATAACAATAACCGATGCTTAGGAGTGAAAATTAACAGAAAAAGGGTAATGGGTCTACATCTACTTCTTTGGTGTATAGAAGCACTTGTGTTTTCACACTAATCACAAAACCAGTGTATGGTTGAAAATGGATTCAGAGTCTCATTAAAGTCCATGGTTTCGAAAAGCTGCAAGTACATGAGCTGTGAAAATAAATGAACACAGAGTGCCATTTCCCTGGGTTTCCATGGCAAAAGTAGTGTGTGTATGTATGTATGTATATATGGATATTTTGGGGAAGAATTCGACAGACAAGTAAATAGTGGGGGTTGTCTTAATTAAGGAAGCTTATAAATGGGGGCACATGATGAGTGGGTCCAAATGAGGGCTCACACGGGGGGGTAGGAGACATGCATGCATGTTGGTGACACCTCAAAACACTCTTATCATCTCTGCAACATTTGCCCACACGGTCGTACTCCCATTACCCCCCATGACTACTGCATGCATGCATACATATACATACATACATCCAATCAATTAAATTACTTATGTGTTTTGTAAAATATCTATGGATGATTATTTGATTTGATTGGACTGGTGAATCTATTCTGGGTGTGTCATGTGTGTTTCTGAATACCCATTAGCTGGCATCTCAATACTTCAATGCATTGTTCTTACCTTTTTACCTCTTACTTTTCCACACGAGTGACAATAATTTCTGAATCCCAATTCACATTAGGTTCTTTACTTCTAGCCCTAACTTTGAAACAGGATCGCATAGTATATACCCATAATTGGGATTGAACTTGTTATAGCAGTGAAGTAGCTGAAGATGGATAACGGTCTGTGTTCACAAAAACCAGACATGTTCAGTTACTGTAAGCATACTAGGGACTTAAACGTCAGTTCTGAGATATGATGATGTATAACATTCTTAGGCACTCTTTTAAGAGAATTAATTGCTGTTTATGCTCCGCAGGATCCTTCTGTAATCACTGAGAGTTATATCAGCACTTCTATCAGGAGAATCACAGAGAAGGCCTGCAATCTTGGGCTTCCGATCTTTCGGATAGGGATGCATAGTAGCCAATTCACAAACGCTCCGCAGGATGCACTTCGGCAGAGGTCGCCATGCCAGGTTCCGTTTCTTCTCTCCCTGCAACAGCCATTGGATTATTCCAACCTACCTCAAATAAAGATGCAAGATTTAGCAAAGGACAAACCTGTTGATTGCCCTGGCCCTGAATACCACTTGCTTTCAAAAGGTTTCGCCATTTGTCCTGTGCAAAGCATAAGCAGCCAATAATGAGAGATTCCGAGCATATATGATGTTTATACAAAGTATAAAAGAAAAGAAAGCACATTCACCTTGAGGTCAACTGCAGTCCGGTGAGTGGACGAAGAAAAGAAGAGCTTCTTGATACGGCTCCATCTACCAACGCCGTATTTGGAGACACCATCTATAAGTTTTCTAACTTCTGCAATAGTCCATAGTCTGTGATGCTTCCTTCGACTGCTGACTTCCTCGTGGCTCTCAGCTGCGATGTAATAATCTCTCTTCATTTGCCTTAGTGCAGTGAGACAATCATCCCCTTTTCTTGGGCTTTCTACAAGCATTTCATCCCATTTCTTCTGACTTAGGGGCCGAGGATTGTAATCTCGTTTCCTTAAATGAGATGCACCGCCATAATTGACCCTTTTCTTCATACATGGTGCCTTTAAGTTGTCGTCTGTTTTCTTTAAGTGACCACTTCGGGTACAGTCATCTCTTTCCTTATCATCATCTGGAGTGGTAAGGTCATCTCTCGACTTACTCGTCAGATTTCTTCTGTCTGAACCATGCAGCTGTTCAAGAAACATCGAATTCAACTTCAAATTATTGGAATAAAATACATACGGACATGAAAGTTACCAAACATTAGTTAATTGTACCAAAACCATATGATCTTTGCTCTAAGATTTACCATTTGGTCAGATCGACTGTTTGGACATTCTTTCTGCGATATGGAAGCAAACGGCACTTGAATAGCTTTGACAGATGGCTCTTCAGCCGGCAATCTGCTTGCTCTACATACCATATAACTTTTCTTGTTATCATTAACAATGCGTAAGGACTTATCCTTGAGTGCCGACGAAGAAGCCTCCCGCCTTTTCTTACATTGCCTTGAGAAAGCTTCCGCCACTTCATCAATGTATCTCTGCGTGGGCTTCCGCGACCTCTTTTGCTTAGGGAAGGCATCGACGGAGCTAGCTTGATCCGACAGTGTTACAACTCTGTCCTGCATAAAAATGCCTTGTTCTTTCACCACAACTTCACTGGTTTTCTCGTTCTTTGGATTCGACATAACTTCAATGGATGGAGAATGGCTGGAATCGTTCTCGTCAGACAACTGAAAAGAGCAGCTTGAAATGTCATTGAACTTGCCGAGATCTGGTAAAGCGGTGGGCAATTCTAGAGGCTTCTTCTTGGCCAATGTTTCTGGCTCATGGTGACAATCAGAAATTTCGCCGTAATCAGAACTATCAATATTAAGATGGTCTCTTCGGCATTTTGAAAGTTCCATTATTCTAAAGGGATCTACTTTCCAAGAAGCATCGATGCCAGCTGTAGATGGCAAGATAGTTCCATCTGAAACAGACGTCTGCAAGCCTCCGCTTAAACCATAATCAAGATTTGTAATACTCTCGGCGAATTCAACACCTGCATCATATCCAAGACAGTAACATCTTTTTATAGAATCAGTGTTTGGTGATGGAGACGAAGTCGCGTAAGCTTTTATTACTGTAAAAGGAGAAGAATTCAGACCTAAAAGATAATCTTCTCCCATGCTACAGAAATCATTTTGCATCCTAAAATATCCCACTTCAACTTCATTCTGCATCGAAACAAGCACCTACACAACCATGTAGAGACGATGAGAAAAGCATAATTCGCCGCAAATTTGACCATTAAAGAAGAATAACCATCAAAGACATACATCTCTATTCAGAATATCTTGATTTTCAAGAGCAATGCCGGCAGTTGACACACCTGCATACAATATGGAGTTCGTCGGAAATGGAAGAAAGAAAATTATACCGTCCCTTAGATTATTCATACATATATAACTGAATTAAATGCTAAATCTTAAAAGTAAATTATTTAGAATTGGATAGGTTCTTGATCGATTGAACTTTGGCCATACCAAAATTGTGGGAAGTCTCCTCCTGGTTCATGGAATTCTCTGGTATCTTCTCATGAAATGATATTACACTATCCACCGAGACATGACCGTCTTGCGGTTCTACAAGCAATCGCTCAACATCAATTGCACCATCTTCAAATCCACTTGTTGGTGGCCCATTCTCCATGACCTGATAAATGTTGTCGAAAACGAATCGCAAGTATTACCACTGCTTAATTTAACCTTAAAAACAGATATTCTATTCGAGGAATAGCATTTAAAGCATGAACAGATAACAAACATAACGACCCAAAAGAAAAGGACAGATCATTGAAACTAATTCTTTCAGATTGATATCATCACCGAGACTCCTAATTGGTCCATATTCAACAGATAAAAAGTTAAATCCATAAAGATCAAAGTGAAGTTCATAGTTAGCATAGATTTGCAATTAATTGCATTCAACAATTGCCATATTACATCTAATGTCGCAACACGACAAAAGTGCGAATGCATCTACGAGTAAACCAACAAGAACAAGGCATGTAAGCATAAAAGGTATACATCACAACTGACATTGTTCATCCATTCAACTTTCTACACATTAGTCAAGACAAAACAGACATTCCTTTACAGTTAAGCATTCTAATTAAAGTCACAGAATTTTTCCCACAAAATCAATCAGCTAAGTAACCCAAGGCTAACTGTATCCAAAGAACAACCAAGTGACTCCGCTAAAACTTACAACATACGATCCTCTTCACTCTTGCAACCTCAAAAGAGCCATGGAAGCAACTGACAAGGTCACCAAACCATTTCACTACCTACTGACCCTGAACTCGTGCCTACTTACTTCCAAGGCTCAAATGTTTGTGGGAATTCCATAAGAGAAAGCAGATTCTTTTTACGATTTTACCATGGCCATGAGTTCACTCAGAAATTGATTGAACACAAAATTACACCCCCTTATGCTACAAATTGTACAATTATTTGAGCAAGATAATCCGAAATGGCAATGCTATCATGCATAAACACCTTCAAATTTACTCAGTATGAACAACCCTAAAACAGAAACGAATACACAAATCTCGAAGATCCAGGAGTAGCGCAGAGAGTACGTGAAACAACAGAGACATGAACTTTAACAAGACAAGATCACAACAAATCCACAAAGTAAAAAAGCACAAAGAACAGGAGCATAAACAGAAGCAAGCGGCTAACCTCGAAGCTCCAGCTTCCAGCGATGTCTCCGTGCGCGCGCGCGCAAGGGGGAGAGAGAGAGAGAAACAGAGGGGAGAATAAGCAGAAAAGGATGGGCCGTGGAAGAAAGGTAAAGTCGGTACAGCAGCGCACAATTTATTCGGCGGAATCGAAAGCGATATTACAAAGCTGTAATGGAATATGTGGTCTGGCGTCCGCCGTGCCGTTGTGCAGTCACAGTGTGACAATCAAGAATGAATTTTTATTTTATTTTTGTTGAAAAAAAGAGATTCGTGTGACGTCCGTACTACTGCAGTCTCCGTCTCCCCCTTCGTCCTCGTTGACCCTTGTCTTTCGCTTTTTTTTTTTTTTCTTCACACAAGTTCCACATTCTTTAAGATTATTAATTATTACACCATTATCATCTGAAAAATTGTTTGAAGCAAGAAACACTTTTTAGATTGCGAGTTAAGTCCATCCAGATTCCTTATCAGATCAAAAGGGTTTCCTCATTCTTTCCATTGTCAAAACCAACAGATACAAAGAAAAAAAAGAAAAAAATCTCTTGAAACAAATGGTGGGTAGATTGATTGCTGTTGCTGACAATGACAGAGCTTGGAACTTGAGAATAACACATGTTATAATAATTGTAATAACAAACTACAAAAAAAAAAAAAGATCTGATGATGGATGAGTGCCAACAGCCAAGAATATCTGTACCAGAGCATTTAATGTGTGCCCGCCTACCCACCCCCAAAAAGTGATGCCAACTAGCTAGCTAAGCTAAGCTAAGCTAAGCTACCTATACAACAATCGTGGGTGTGTAGTAGTGTGGTAGTGCCCATTAGCTAATCTACTCTACTTTCTGTGCAAAAAAACAGCCACACAAAAACACCCAAAAAAGAATCATTTCTTTCCAAACAGAATCAAACAAACGAAAGCTAGAATCCTGCACAGTATGCCACTGACTATGAGTGAGACTAGACACAGAGTCCAGTTATGAACATTGTACCCTAAATCATTCAGCTCTGCACACCGAGTTATCAGCCAAACTCCCGAGAATCTGCGGAAACAAGAAAATGGGTTGGATTCAACTCTAGTGCCTGGATGTTATAGAGCTCTACATTGCATTCTTTTTTTTAAAAAAAAATAATATTTTTATGTTTCTGCTGACTGACCTTTGAGCATTTGCTGTGAGAAATGCTTGCAAGGCCCAGGTGGGGTAGCAGTAGATGCTTACAGCTCTTATAACCTCATCGTCTCTGCCTTGATTCGATACCAAAGTCATCACTACAGGAAGCAGCACACACCACTGCCCAAGATCAGCAACCAAAATGTGTTTTTGTCAGCCAAAAATTCAAAAAAACCACCCCTGAATTCTTCTTGGAATTGAAATGTACTAATGGAGTTTTTTACCAGTTGGGCTTGAGAAGGCTGGAGGAAGATGGCGAGTACATAGGCTATCCCAGTTACACAATACACCAGGCAGAGCAGAACGGCATAGTTCTCCATGAACGTCGATCGTGGAATGTTGAAAGAATAGAACATAGAAAGAAACACCACAGGCTTCACCAAAGTGCTGAAGTTATCAACTGTATCCTTGGACAGGAAATACGCCAGGCTGCTCATCCCACTGTCCCTTTCTCGTCGGTAGTGTAGCTTGTCCAGCGAAAATGATCGTAAAGCAGATATTTTACACAGGAGTGCTGCCAATGTGAAACTAGAATGATAAGCATTGGGGATATAAATTGTGGTAAAGTCCCCAAGTTCTAGCACCATTTTTATGAATGGAAGTCTACTTACAAACGGCAATCACGGCATACATATAGCCATAGTAGCCGAATGTGTCGCCTGGTGTTTTTGAAAGAGTTCCCAAGCATGCTCCAGCAAGTAGAAGGATCATGAAATCAGCTGCTTGTAGTTTAGCTTCTCGTAGCCGTTGTTTCGCACTTCTGCAGAGTCAAACCAAGGAAGGCTTAGTATCTCATATCGGGATTCAAATCAGACTCCGTAAGCGATAAAAGGGGTCAGATTAACTACCTTCCAAGGAAATATCTGAACTGTCGAAGCCAACCAGGCGTTTGACGGTTAGATAAGTCATTGGTTTTAAGAAACGTAAGCTGTGAAAGGTCATTGTTATCCTGGTTGTCTTGCTCTTGCTCCTGCTCTCTCTCGCTGACAGATGGTCCTAGAGTTGGATGACTACTAGCACTTCCACCTTTAGAGACAGCTGCAATTTCATCACAAAAATGAAGCATATCTGGAGGGACAGGGTAGCCATTGTGAAGCATCCATCGGACAGGAAGCTGCTCAGCCGTCACACCATTAGTTGGTTTGAATATACCCTCGAGTATATCAATGAAATGATCCGGAGGATTGACACGTTCAGGTACATTAATTCCGAAGGATGAAAAATACTCTTCTACTTTCTTAACTGGTCCATGGTACACAGTAAGTCCACCTTTGGCTAAAAGTATCAAGTCATCGAACGTCTTGTACAAAGCATAGCTGAAGCAGGAAAAAAGCATTAAATCATGGCATTTAAAACAAGAACATAAAGTGGGAGGTTTTGTCTAATGCACATGATTGATTATTCGGGAACTTATATGTCAAACACTTCTCTAAGGTAACATCCAGAGAGTCTGAACTGGGGTTTTGGACAAATTAAATAATCACTATCAACAATCTCTAATTCAGGTAAAAAGAACTATACAACAATGCCATGGTTATTGAGGGTAAGGCTACTTATCGGAGGCATGAATGCATTATCATTATTCTACTTTTTGTCATTGCAATCGAAAACAAGGAGAGCTGTGGATCGTACCTTGGCTGGTGAACAACCATGCATACATTTACACCTTCGAGAGCTTCACGTCTAAGAGCTTTAATGAGTAAGTTGGATGATGAACTATCTAAGCCAGAGGTTGGTTCATCCAAGATTAGTAATGAAGGTTCCATGACCATTTCCAGCCCCACATTAACTCTTTTTCTCTGGCCTCCAGAAATGCCTCGCTTTTCTACTGTCCCAACGAGAGAATCTCTCACTGCCTGTAGTCCAAGAGCATCAATAACTCTTTCAACGACAAGAACCTTATCAGCCTTGGGCATGTCTGAAGAAAGCCTACAACAGTGTTGAAATCCAAAGTGAGTATGCAGAAACCACCATAATTTTAGAGAACTACTGATAACTTGTCATGTGTGCAAAAGTGCATTAATTTATAGAGAAAAAAATAAATTGCCAGCAACCTGCATCGAGCACTGAATCGAAGGTTCTCTTCCACTGTCAAGTTTCCATGAACAATATCATCTTGTGGTACAAAACCTACAATTTTATTGTAACACTGAATGGGGTCAGGCTTGTCATTTATGAGAATTGAGCCTCTTATGATACAACCCCTTATCTTCCCTGCCACTGCAGAAAGAAATGTTGTTTTCCCTGCACCTGATGGACCCATGACAGCCGATATTCGACCAGGAAACAATTTCCCAGTCACACGCCTCATCAAATGTTTGTTTTTGTGTCTCAGAGTTATAGTAAGATCTTTAAAAGCAAGCTCAATCGGTGGCCGAGTCTTCTTTTCTGTGTCAGTGGCCAATTGAATGACTCCTGAGAAGGTCAAGTCCTGTTTCTGCTCCCAAGCTTTCTCTTTCTCGAGCTGACCATATGCATACTTAAATATTTGACTTTTAGTGTGCAGCTGTTTGGACTGGGGCATTTGCTTCTTAAGATTTTTGTCTCCAATTTGCATGTCGAAACCCTTGTGACCATCAGCATTATTTTCTAGATTTTGTAACATCTTAGTCAAGTTACCTGCGTCCTTCTTTGGTTTCGATACACCAACTATTGGTGCACTTGCTGGAGCCTTTGGTTGATGTAGTCCATCAGTAGATTTACGTGAAACACTACTTGATAACGGCTGTTGCAAGCCTGAAGCACCCTTTTTCGCAGCATCTTTTACCATTCTCCACCTCTGTCTTGCCTGTGCAGTTTCTCGGGCACTCCTTGCTGCTCTTTCTCTGGACTTGGCCAGCCTTTCGTAGCGAGTTGTGAGGACTTGATCAGAGCAATTGTAGAACACTATCAATACCAAGCTCAATGCACCCTGCATAACCACAAGTCAGAAAGGTTTTTCATTTCTTCAATTTACACATATTTGGAAGATCTTGCAAGACAACTCCACCTACAATGATCAGAAATCCATATGCATGCAGGTTCTGTGTATCTGTATTTGGATTGCAGGTGCTCAACTTGAAGCAAACTGCAAGCACGAGCAACATTTTAGAGTAACAGGTGAAACCCTACATATAATAGCCACAAAAACAAATCTGAAACTTCAAAGATCAGTATTCCTCAATGAGGTTCCAAGAAGGGTTTATTGTCAGAGTCACAAACAAAAAAAAACATTCAAAGATCAGCATTTCCCAATGAGATGCCAAGAAGAGTTTCGAAGTTCTGACATTGTCAGAGGCATATTATCGATCTTTAAAAATTAAAAGATAACAGAACTTTATATTAATTATTCCAACTACTTCCATAAAATCATAGCAATTCTCTCTGGAGGAAACAGGGCAGGCATTCAGCAGTTCACTTCTAGCACCACCATACCACACCAAACAACCTTCTAATTTTGAGAAAAAATAAAATAAAATGCATTCCCCTCTTTGAAATTTTGACATGTAAAAAAATCTCATGCAAAGCTTCAAAAGTGTTAGTATATGGAAAAACAGCATTACGAAGCTCTTGACAACTAATAGTGTAATTTCTAATGACAGCCCTTAAAGTAACTTTTCTTCAATAGCCGAGGCCTTTGCCCAGTTTCTGCTCTGAGCTTGGGACATAATAACCTTTTAGCATTCAACAACAGTTCACACATGACATTATTTGCAAATCAACTTGATGATTAGGATTGTATACCTCTTTGCTCAGTAGATCCCTGTAGGCAGTAATGTCTGCATTCACCAAAAAATTGAAGATTAGCGTAGGGATAGTAAACTTGAGTTAATGCATTACAAATAATATCCATACCCTTTGGTGCATTGAACCTTTTTGGTGGTGGTAGGGCAATAAGACCCTGCTGTACAAAATATTTCGTCACTAGAAGTGACACCTGCCCATTTATCTGCTGCACCGCAAGAGTGAGTTGTTTTACCAGGAGGCAATTGATATGTATAACTGTAAATTTGTTTAACCGACCAAAGATCAGACAACCATAGAGTAGCTGTACAATAATATAAAACATATGTTCACATTGCAAAATAAACTTACGGTTCGCATATCCCAGTTGTTTCATTGAGGGTTGCTCGTGGACAATAAGAACCCAAAGGACAAGCTTCAATAATACAACATAAATATGAGTCACTTGCAAGACTGTTAATAATATCAATGCATCAATGGCCGGTTACAAACTGTGAACTTGGCCACCAATTAAAAAAAAACACTTACTGAATGGAACTTTAGAAAGTAGAAATTTTTTTGGAGCACTGCACAATATATCCATATTACTAATACATGAATTGTTATCTAACCACAATGTCTCACAGCTATTCAATATACATATAAGTTAAAGAGTAATAGGATGGATTTTATTTAATAACACAGAGAAGTTACCCCAATATTAATTCATACAGCCTTTTAAGATGTTCACTTAAATGTAGATTCAATTAACATGCTGCCATTCTGATGCCAAAGTCAGATAGTCGGGCCAATTCCAATAGTCAAGAAATGAAGAGACTTACGAATCATGCAGGTGAGACCTTGAGGGCAGAAAAAACCTGCACAGCAAGGTTGACTATCCTCCACCCTTATAGGAAAATCTTGGGAATTTTTTAGGTCAACCTGTCCATTTTGAGGAACACTACAAGACCAACCAGGCTCGCATCCGGGAACCCATGATGTTAAATTACAGTTTATGTTTGGTTTTAGGTGATGAGCATCACCAGACTTTTTGTCCATAAAACCAGTAAAATAGAACTTCATCTCAGCTGCTGTACAGATCCTCTTCGTTACATCTGTTGGATTGAGCAAAACGACGATTCAATTACTACATACAGACTAAGAAGAGCAAGCAAAAAGCTTAACATTACAATGTCTCTAGGTTATAATAACAGCAATGATCACAACAGATTAATCCGTGCTTTATTGGATTACAAAGTGAAGAAAATATAGATAAAATGGCTTGAAACTTCCACAAATTAACAGGCAAAGTGGTTTAAGAGAATGTGATGAATGTACCTACAACAACAAAATGAACCCCTCATTTTTATGGTTAATTTAGCAGCACAACTCTCATCTGATATATAGATACATTGTGGATCGAATAAGCTGTAGTACCTTTCATCTCTTTGACACACTCACTAAGAAAATCCAAATTGTTGGAGAATTTGAATGCCCCATTTATATCAGCATCCCTGAGACATGAGTAAGGCTTAGAAAACTCAGTTAAGAAATAGGAAAAATCTGCAGCAGACAAAAGGTTTGAATCAACTTAGAACAGGGCAAGGGCATTAATAAACTAACACATTCTGAGTGCAATATCCCAAGCTCTCGGTAATTTCCTTGTTGAATATCCTGGTGAGGTTCGAAAATTGATTGTAGATGAGAGACGTAACGAGTGGCAGGACATTAGGGTTACCGGTCTTGGAATATTCATCTTCATCCACACACAAAACTGGTCGTGATGAACCTAAAACAAGAGCCCAAACCAACAGCGCCAAGAATCCAACTTGGGGGGAGTTGGCCCTAATCCTGCTCATCTCAATCACGCAAATCATTATTAAACAGGCACATAAGGAGAAACATCCAATAATCACACAAAATCCCTCATCGTGAATGTATCCCCAAAAAATGGTGCTCTCGTTTGAACGCAGACAAGCTCGTTCAAACCTTCCTCAAAACTAAAACCTTTCCAGCATCCGTTCCGATAATCGATGGATAGCCAAATGGGCAACCGTTTTCTTGAATAATCTCGGACAGAATTGACAATGGAGAGAATCTGATACCACCGCCAGGAGGGGGGCTCAAAAGCCAAATAGAAAAAGCATCTTTTGTCTATCTTCTTTGAGGGAATATGTGACAATTGATGTGCAGGGCATGGAAGATGGAGCTCCATAGTTTTAGGAGGGAGAATTGGCGGGGAGAGATTGTTGGTGCTATTTTTGGGTGTATCGCTACTTCATCAAGTACTACGCCCGCAGATGGTCTGGATAACTCCCGGCAGATCCGGGACTCAGAAATTTAGTGTAATTTTCCGACACACATTCAAAGAAATATCTGTCATAACATTCAAAATGCCATCATTACTTGTGGGCTAATTAAAGCAATTTAGCTCTAATAATATCATTTTGAATATATGCTACATTATCTATCAAGAAAAAGACCATGGAAATATAAAGCCATTAAAAAATATGCAAAGAGATAATCTAGTTGAATGCGCCACCATGTCCATGTTCAACTCAAGCCTTCTATCTTTGACCAAAGAGGTGCCAAGCCAAGATTTTCCCGGGCCAAAAACGACGACTTTTTCTTCCAGTAATTCTGCAACCACATTTTCAGCTTTTGTCCTCTTCGTTCTGGCCGCCTTCACACCTTGACTTGGATCGGGTTTTAGGGTGTCTTAATACGGGAATATTACAATGCCCTTAAATCACACTCGTACGTGTGTACAGTAAGTAGCCTTTTGCGTGTACTGTATGGTATTGTTGGGCAAGTAAAAGCTTCGATAATTCGACCAAGTAGTCGCGGTCGTGGCTATAAATCTTTTTTTTTTTTTTTCTTTTTCTTTTTATTGCAGAAGGAAGACTTTAATGATGTGTTGTTGGTTTGTGGAAGACTTTGCTTTCCAAGTCACTCCAATTCCTGTTCTTCTGCTCTCTCTGGATTGCCCTCAAAAGCTTTCAACGGATTCAAGATTCATGTTTTGCGGGTGATTCTCAAACCGTAGAGGCATCCCAGCTCACGATTCCAAGCTAGGGTACGGTTGAAAAGTGAAATCTTGTCGAAAGATGTGTGCTCTTTGGTTTCATCACTGAAATTTCAATTTTGAACTTTCAATAAAGCCGTAAAGGATTTGAAAGCTCAAGAAGAAACAATTTTATGGCTAAATTAGAGAGCTTTAAACTTCTCATCTCTCTAGTTTTTGCCGATTTGGTATACTAGGTTATTTGTTGCTGCCCTTTTCCCCTTTCCTTTTTTTTTTTTTCCTTTTTGTTGAAGCATGAGGCACAGTTGGTAATAACTCAGCAGATACTACTGTACAGATGCTTTGTTGGTTGTGTTCTTGTGATCATGCAAGCACTTTATTGGCTGGACTTTGTTGGATTTAACTAACGAAAATCATATGCTCTGAAGCTTTATATTAAGGTATCTCTGTTTTTTAGATCCAGTTTCCTTTCCCTGCAGTTTTCTGGCCATGAAGTGTTTCCAATTCCACATTGGAGAGAAAAGGGAAGAACCCAAGACGCCAAGGCCAAATTCAGTGCTGTCCTCTTTTACTGAGCAAGATCCAACGAAGCAGTCTGGATCAGATTTCAATTCCCAGGATGCTTCGGATACAAGCAATGAGTCCAGAGGTTGTGGCCAATTCCCAAATCTGTCGGAGAGACCAAGTAATCTCAAGGTTTTTACATTTCAAGAGCTGAAACAAGGGACCAGAAATTTCAGCCGCACGGCCAAGCTCGGGGAAGGAGGATTCGGATGTGTTTATAAGGGTGTTATGAAGAGTATCGATGATCCAACGAAGAAGATTGATGTTGCTGTAAAACAACTTGGCAGAAGAGGCCTGCAGGTAACCTATGATTCGACATCTTCTTTTGTCAATGGTTGGATAAAATCATCCATGTATGAAAGGCCAATTAATATCCCAGTCTTCACATGACAGGGTCACAAAGAATGGGTGACAGAAGTTAATGTTCTTGGCATTGTTGAGCATCCAACTCTCGTGAAGTTAATCGGTTACTGTGCTGAGGATGATGAAAGAGGAATCCAACGCCTTCTGATATATGAGTACATGCCGAATGGAAGCGTCGAGGATCATTTGTCAGTTAGGTCGCTCACACCCCTCTCCTGGCCTGCGAGGCTTCGGATTGCCCTGGATGCAGCTCGCGGCCTGACGTACCTGCACGAAGAAATGGATTTTCAGGTGCCCTTTTATTACTAATGTTGGTTGGTTTTACTTGTGGCTCTGCATCTTGCATCTTGCATCTTGCATATGGCTAATTGTTTTTTCATTCTATATTTCAGATCATCTTCAGAGATTTCAAATCTTCGAATATTCTCCTGGATGACCAGTGGAATGCAAAATTATCAGACTTTGGTTTGGCTCGACTGGGACCTTCAGAAGGACTAACACATGTTTCGACTGCGGTATGCTTGATCTGTTGTCTCCATTACAGTTTGTCTGATCCAGTACCTTATTAGAAACACCTTATGAGAAAGATTTCTTGAAATCAAATTTGTAAATTGGAAATATGTATTTCTACTTATCAGATTGTAGGAACCATGGGATATGCGGCTCCCGAATACATTCAAACAGGCCGTCTCACTTCAAAGAGCGACGTTTGGAGTTATGGGGTTTTTCTTTACGAACTCATTACTGGTAGGCGCCCTTTGGATCGAAACCGTCCCAGGAGTGAGCAGAAGCTTTTAGAATGGGTAAAGCCATACCTATCAGATGCCAAGAAGTTTCAGCTGATACTGGATCCTAGGCTTGAAGGAAAGCAAACCCTTAAATCAGCTCACAAGCTCTCAATTGTTGCAAATCGATGCTTGTCCAGACTTCCAAAGTCACGGCCAAAGATGAGCGAGGTTCAGGAAATGGTCAGGCAAATTGTCGTTGCGTCAACAGGTGCAGCCATTCCTCAAGCACCGTTGAGCCGCAAAGAACAGAATGAAACTTCTGATGATGAACCTAAAGGTAAAAGAAGGATCACTGATATGAAAATCGGGGATGGTGGCTGGCTAGTCCGCATGTGGTCGTCCAAGCTTGTGAAAACTTGCTGATCCGAGATGGAGGCACCGATTCTATTGGGTACACAGGGAAGAACTTTGGCTACAATCTTTAAAATACATATAACTGGGTACTAACAGAAATGAAATGCTTCGATATTCTTTAGGCTTTTTTCGTAACTCTCTCCAATTCCAGGGCTCTCCAGGAACCAGCACAGAGTGCCGACTCAACCGTTATCATCTTCCTCACAGAAGCATCATAAAATCTGTATGTATAGGATTCAACAATAGGTTTGAAAGCTGGTTTAGATTACTTTTGCTGTGCTATCTATGAACATGTTGCTTGTATGTGTTCATGTTACTGTAGGTTTGGTAGAGTTGAGAAAGAATGTGTGTGATTCTCCTAATGATTGATGTCAAAATAATCAGGGATTGTTGCGACTAAACGAGAACATTTCGATGTGAATATTTGTAGTTCTTGTGTTCATGGGAGTCTGTATTTGCCCTGTACTAGACTGGGTTCAGACAGGACAATGTGGGTAACCATTTTTGGGTGGGGGCACGACTGGCTGTCTGGCCTCAATAGAACTGGTCCTAGTCCAACCCCCCACTACCACCTACCTACCACCCCCATTGCCCTTGGTTGGTTGGTCCACCTCTTGACTAGGGAGAAGAGTTTTTAAGTCTAGTGTCTGTAATCTATAGCCTATTAGTCAGTGAATCTCGAAGCAGATGGAATTCTTGATGGAGTCCCACCTGAGCCCAGAAGGCATTTCTTATAATGGAACCCCAACTGATTGTCTCCACGGCCAGGTTTCCCAAGTCATTGCAATTCAAGTAAAAAATTTTGTTGAGGCCATGAAGTAGAGATTAAAGAAATGGTGTGCAAGCCATGTCAAAAGAAATTGAACAAGATTCCAAAGGCCCCACCTTTTTCCTCTTTTTGTTACAAAGCCAAGCCAGCAAGAGAAGCTCTAATAATTATTTGGCCAACTGATAAATTAATTGCTAATTACTTTCTGCTGAATTATTATCGAGCCTAAGAAGCTACTTCTCGACGATCCTCGGTCACATCGCCGCCGTGCCGCTCTTCCGCCTCTTCTTCATCCGTCGACGGATGCAGCAGCAGCGCCGTGAACGGCATGTGGCGATACCCGTTTGGAAGGAATCCCAGCTCCATATGCGGCGGCGGGTACAAGTCCAGCCGGCAGCTCGGCGGAGGCGGATGCGGATGCGCCGGGAACGCGCCGCTACCTGGAACGGCGGACACCGGGTGCGCCGCCTGGGCCACCGGTGTCAATTGCCGGGAGATCTCGGCTTGTACGGTGGCCGCGGGACGGGACGGCGGGAGGGAGCCGGAGGAGGTGGAGATGGCCTCGGCGGGGACGGTTCCGGTTCCGGTGGCGGCGATTATAGCCGGCTCGGCTTGGCGGAGGAGCCACTCTACAGTCTCGCCGTCGGAGCGGTGACCCAGTTCACGGGTCAGTTGGAAAACCCGGGCGGCGCAAAGTGCCGGCATCCGGACGCGGCGGCCCCGGCCGTTGACCTTGGTGTGGCGATCTTTACTCGAGCCGCTTCTTGAAACGCCGTTCTTGGGCCTTGAATTTCGGGACGGATTCAAGGCTCCGGCGGCGGCGGGGGTGGTGAGGGGATGAGGCGCGGCGGTGATTGACAGAGGAGAGATGGGGCGGGCAGCGGCTGGAAGAGACTGAGAGTCGTGAACAAGCATATCAGCAGAGGAAGACGACGACGACGACATGTTGTTTCTTTGACTAATGTTTTAGGGTTTTTTTGGGTACTTCTGATGTTGTCTAAATTGACCCCACAACATTACCCTCACTCTCTCCTCTCTCTCTCTCTGTATATAATAAATAGTAGCAGCCGAAACCCCCCCCCCCCCCCAGTGAGTGACGTGTCCCTATCTGGGGCCATGGATGAACAAAAATGGGCCTTCCTTGTGGGCCCATGTGGGCATTGAGTGGGCCATTGAGGATCTTTGTCCTATATCGTCGAATCGAATCAATCCGTGGCTCCCACTGTCTGCCAATTGCTTTATTTCCCTCATTGCTGTCCACAGCCACAATTCTTCCACTGGGTGTCCTGTCCGGTCATCTCTCACTTTTCAACAAGGTAAAGAAGAGCGATGATGAATGATGATGCGATAATATGTTCCATGGATTACTGTGTTTTTTTCATATGTCTATGTAAGAAAGATAGATCATTCTAGTTTCTTGATTGTGTTACTGGTAGTGAAGAGAAACGGCAAAGTAGACAGAAGCAAACTGACAGATTTCTCAATCAAAAACGCGGATGGGATTCTTGGGAATTGTGATAGAGCAGCAGCAGCAGGTTTCTTGATCTGCTAAAACCCACCGACTGCTTATAATTCCAACGACTGTTAAATCCCATGTGGTCTGTGCATTGGTTTTGTTTACCTCTAATTGGCAATGATGCCTCTTCCTCGTTTTACATTGCCACAGCTTATTACAGAGAACAAGACTCAATACACACACTCATAGCTAGCTAGCTATACAAAACTGTTGTTAGCACGATCGTTTAATGTCAGCTGACTGCTACTTTTTCAACTCTGAAAGAGGAATTTGAAGCCGAAAGTTCTTGCTTCTTTGATATTTTTTACATAACCTTCATTTCTCAACACCTATAATTACCAGTTGAATATAAAAATGTTGTCCGAGCGAAGAATGAAATAGAATCAATCTGCGTTAGTTTTTTCTGCAAAATTTTGTTATTCAGCTCCAATTACAAGAAATGAATTCATAAGATCGAGCAATCAAACTGCCTGACCTTGTTGTTCATAAGCAAACGTCATCCCCCTGAAATTTCGCAATGACTTTTTTTATCATTACATTCTCTGCGTCGGAAAGCAATCAAGGTTTACTTTTATTGTTACATACACACACACATATATATATATATATATATTGTGTATTATCCTATCACCAGATAATTGATATGTAGTAGGAGCAAATTTAAATTTCTTTTTAGGAAACAGAGGTCAATGGTGCTTCAAGTATTATGACATTTTACTATTGCAGAACAAAATGATATTTAGTACGATAGCTGTAATCGTGTTATGATATGATGTCTGCAGAATTGTAATTTCAGGTGAAAACCTTCATCCTATTACTTCTAGCAACAAACATAAATGTCTGTGTATGTGTGTATATATATACATATATACATAAAATTCCAAAACCCACATGCACAGGACACGATTCCATATCAACGTTGGATCAAATTAAATTGCATGTGGCACATGCACGATCAATCACTATAAAATTCAATTTAATATATATATATATATATATTAAGTCTATAGAAATGAAGCAAAAACTACTCAAAAATATATACTTGGTAGATCGATGAACATGCACAATATCCAAAACGATGATTCATTCATTCATATATATATATATATATACACAAACTGGCTACACTAAAAAATTTAATTTCACCAATAACTAAAACAAGTAAATAATAGTATTAGCTATGTAATTATCTTTCAGGTCATGCATGTATGTCTGTATTTAATTGCCAACATGCATCACATATAAACAATTCATAAATCAAAGAATATAATCCTTACGAGATCATCCGTGTCTGACAGACAACAATTAAGAACGACCAAAACCTAAACTATGGTTTTGTGCATGTGATAATGGCTTCCATTTCAATAATAACTAATATTTGCTGGCATTGAGTCTAATGGAAACATTAAAATCTTTCCCACAAAGTAAAGATACATACGATCACATGTTTGAGGCTTAATAATATATCAGATTAGGATTAACAAATTCTTGTATACCACATTAAAAGGCATGTCAGAAGTACTCCATAATTTGATTAATTTAGGCTAACAATTTCAAGGGAAAGTTGACAAAGTAGATATTTAATTCAAGAACAAATCTTCACTAGCTGTGAAATGCAGATATTGCCAGCTAAACAAATCTATAATATACATACAAGAAGATAGAGCCTAATTGCAAGAAAATATCTTCACCAGATATGCAAATTTATATGAGATCCAGATGCCAATCAGTTATAGCCTTCACTGGATCGATCATGTGTTTTCTGTTGCCACCATTCTCAATCAAACACCAAATGATCTTAATCAGTAATTAGAATACATATATGATAATTTTCTTACGACTAATCAAGATTGATGGTGGTCGATACCCAAACCATTAGTTAAAACTAACCTCGGATTCTACACTAGTAAGAATTGAACTAAAATCATGGGATGTATAGAAATCATTGTATGCCTCAAACCTTATTATGTTATGTCTGAATTAATATCCCATTTAAGTCCAACTGATATCTATCTATCATTGCATCATGCAGTGATCGTACTGTCCTCTCAGCTTTTTGGGGCAGGGGGGACCAAACGACGACTTGGGATTCTTTGAGTCACCAATCTACAACAAGAAATCTCATCTGATCTTACCTCACAAATTAAAAACTGTCCTTAGATCTGTCGGCAAAGGAGCTTCATTAATCCCTACCAAATCAGTACCCTCACTGCTCACGTTTTTATGGCTTCTCTTTTTCTTGCAATCATTTTTTTTAGTTTTCAGAAATTAAAAGGTGAATGTTTAATGCTCTGGAAAATGAATCGATACCTTTCAAACTGCTCGACTCTTCAAAGCTGCTGATCCGTTAATCTTTTGTTCATAACCCTGCAAATTAAGATTAGGGTGTAGAAATATGAAAATAATAATAGTTAAAGAAAAAAAAAAAAAAACTTACCATATATATATATGTGTGTGTGCCCATTATCTATCATGAGTCGGTGTTTGCTGATGCAGCATCATCAAGATTCTCATAATCGAGCATCACTGTATGTACATATGTATGTATATAAGTATAGATAACGCTGAATGTGAATCTTGATGACGCTGCATTAGCAGACAACGACTGTTGCTCCAAGAAAAACACTCGAGGGCTCATAGTCAACACAGAAAATTGATGGCTTAGTTTGAGACGATGAGATAATCTCAGGATCTGACAGAAACCCTAAACCAAAAAACCTCAGTCAATTAACAAGAATCACAGAGGCTAAGGTCAAACAGCGAATGGATCTTTGACGGCGGAAGAGATTGGTGGCTGGAAATAACCCTAACTGATCATCGGATCTGCGAAATCCGAGGAATCGATCGAAGTCAAAAGATTCCTCAACACACACCGAACCAACAAAATTAATGAATTTTAGGAGTAATCACGCAGGATCTGGACAGAAAGAAGCAGCAAATTAAGTAACTAATTAAGAAGAAGAAGAAAAGTAAGGTTTTTAGAGATACGGAAGAAATTTATTAGCAGACAAAAGGTAAGGGCAGAAGAAGAAGAAGAAGAGGGTAAGATTGATATATGTAAGTAAAGTTAGTGAGTGGGAACATTAACATATTTGGGGATCTGATTACTGTGGATGATTACTTGATCTCATCCCACCCCCACCCCATCCATCCCATGTACTAGGTTTTATACTAGGTTTGTGCCACACCCACCTCCATAAAAACCGCATTCTATTATATATATATATATATATATATATCATTTATTTCTAACCTCTATTTAATTATATACCTTACCTGTTCATTGTTGCCTTTATTTTCCCTTTCTTTTATTTTAAATACTCCTATTTTTAGTGATGATTATTTAAGCGAGGCTCGCGGGTTGCTAGCAATTTCTCAGCGGCTAATTCAACAAAGCATACAGCAAATATTAATATTCTTTTGTTTCATTGTAATTCAATTATAAATTTGTTTGGTTATAGTTTAAAATTAATTCGAAATAAATGAATATTTTGAATTTTTAATAAAAAAATATTTTGATATGATATTTTGTAAAAAAAAAATTCAATATATATTTTTATTGAAAGTGTGAGATGAAAAGTGTTAGGCCATCTCCAATGGATAATCTTTTTTGGTGCAATTACTGCATATATTGAGTTTTTGCACTTTAATGAAACTCTATTTTTGATACAAAAAATGGTGTTTGCTACAGTGCAATACTATTTTATGGTGTCGGCTTTTTTTTATTTTTTTATTATTTTTTTACATATTAATTATTTTATTTATTATTTACTTTTTAATTTTTTAAAATATAATATTAATTGTAGATATAAAAAATAGTTAAAAATAATATATAAAATGAAATATTTTGAAAATTATTATTTTTGGAGTAAAACAAATGCATTTTCCGAGTTAAAATAATATAAATAGAGTTGGTGGGTTGAAGATAGTCTTAAAATCGCAAACAATGGACAAACTGAAATTTAATTTTTTAAGTTTGTGAAGATAGAAGTGTTGAAAGTTTTTTAATTTTGAAATTTTTTTAAAATAGTAATAAATTAATATTTAATACTCCATCCGTCCATGACTAAGTATTCGTTTGTTTTTTGCAGGTAGTTTTAGAAATATTAGTATTATATTGGGATATAGTAGAAATAAAGTAGAAATGACTAAAATAACCTTATTAGTATTGTGTGATATAAAAGTAATGACATTTGTGTAATATATTGTAAATTATAATGGTATTTGTAATGTTAAGTAGATAGAACAATTATTATAAAAAAGAAATGAATAGTTTGTTATGCGAAAGAGGAAGTACAACATTTTGTGAAAATATATATATATTTGAGGTATTCTACTTCAAAAAATAATTTAAATTAATATTAACTATAAAATGAAGCTCATATGACATTCAATGAAATCCAATAGGTATGTATAGTTATATATAAATAGTCGAGAAAGAAAATACGATAGAGTTAATGAAGAATCATAGCAACATTACGTACCAAAAGGCCATCTCCAATGCAACGTCAAAATTGACGTTG